TGTACTAGAGTATCCATGAATCAAGCAATGATGAAGGTATAGAAGGCAATACATCAGATGAGATCTCAAATGAGGAACATAATGATTCTAGTTTTATACCACGTAAACTATTTAGATCAGGTTGGTTTTGTTTTATGGCTGAATTAATGCATACTTTGACATCTTGGACAGGCCTTGGTTGCTGATATTAGCATCCTAATTCATAGTCTTTCTATTCACATTAGTTTACCTGTCAACTATCACTAATAACTTCAGTAGAAATTGACTTTCAAGTTTTTTTTTTTAGCTCAGAAAGAAAAAGAACTTGAGAGATCTTCAGCTGAATCACTATCAAGAAGTAATGTTCTGCATGGAAAAAGACCTGATAATAAGAATAGAGTAGCCCGAACATCCAGTGATATAAGATCAATATCAACAGAAGCTACTGATGCCTCGTTAGAGAATGACATGAATAATCTAGAAGAGGAAGAAGTATCATTGAAAACTGGTGTTACTGCTGTAGTTAGAACTTTTGGTGTTGATATACAAAACCAATTAAAGGTATGCTATCCTATATATAAGTTAGGATATCAGTCCTATTTCTGGATTAAACGTTGAAACTTTGGTACAAGACAGTGATGGGCAATAAGTTTGTTACTTAAAGGCCTTATTTGCCTACAAAAAAGTTTATTGTTCATTTGGTTTACTGCACTATACAGAGGATATGGGTTCATTTAATGTATCATATAATGTTACTGTTTGCAGGAAGATAGGACTGTTTAAATTCCTGTTTTTTGGAGTAAATATTCACCTTTTAAGACAAAATCAATACACTCCTGATTTTGATTATTGGAATTCAATATGATATTAATTTTCAGGCCAAAAGAAAACAGCTGGAAACAATAACACAAGAAGCTGTTAAGAATTCACAGAAAATGGCCTCTAAAATGTGGTCAAAACAACACAGTAGAAGGTTTGCTTTTCGTAATTAATTTAATTTGCTAGCATTGACAGAAAAGATTCATACAAAAATTATCAATTAGATGTCCAAATAGAATAGAATGCCAAATAGGTTGTTGTGTGACAAACTATATTTGAGGATTTCAGTGCATCCACATGACAAAAAAGAATACCACACATGGAGATATATCACAAAGCTATTTTCTATTTTAGAAATAAAGTATTAGAGAAATATGAAGAGAAGATATTAACTGAATTAGAAATTCTAGAAAAAGAGATCATCATGTTGAAAGATGAAGAGGATAGAACCTTGGTGAGGAAATACAATTTCTAGTTTTCTATATCGTTATCACTTCTTGCAATGGTGTCCCCTTTTACTTGCCCTGGAATAGTATTTTTCAATCACTGTAATTGTTTTGATTTCAGAATTTTTTCACTCATCAAATGAAAATGTTAAAGACTTACAGAGATTCTCAACAAAAAAGGTTGGAAGGATTTTATTCAGTTGGTACCTTACCTGAATGATAAGAATGGTAATTTTTAAGTGAACACAACTGAGCTGTCAAGGCCAACACAATCTGCTCTCCAAAGGGGGACAACTCTCGACACTCTATCTGAAGACCACAAAATTACATTTACACTTACTAGTCATTATTAATCAGATATAACAGTTTTGACAGTCATGTATCTGTATTTAAGGTTCACTTTAATTTTCTGGATATTTCTTGAAGAACGTCTTTTTAAGAACCATCTATCCATTTATTGAGACTTTCTGATTAATTACCAGGGTACAGAATATGAGTCACTGTCAAGAAGAATTAATACAAGAATTAAATAAAGCAGATGAAGTAACTCATCATTATCAGGTATCAGTTCATGTTTTTATATGTTTAAATGATCTCACAGATCTCCTTGTAGGCCAGCTCTACTATGCACTCCCCTCATTGTCCACTTCATTACCAGTGCTTTTCTTTATAACATCATATCATACGGGAAAGAAGTAAAAATGCTAAGAGCTGTACATATCCCTTTGTAAAATCTGATATGATAATCAAAAAGAACTTTTACTATCATTGTTAAATTGTGGGAATATTATATATATTTTTGCAGCAAAATTTCAAGACAACATTGAAGAAAGATATGTCGAATTTACAACAAAGGTTACTGAAGGAAACGGTAAGTCAGGGCTGTATCATAATCCACAGATTACCAAAATAATCTTTTTTAGGGCAATTCTTGAGCAATACAGGCTTATCATTATAATAATTATTGCTTTGCTTCAAGAACAGCTCCAGGAACCTGCATTGTACAGGGGGTGGTGCACCTCAGCTGTCTGTTGGAACTTGATCTCAGTGAAAGAGTTGTTTCCTAGAATATAGTTACACTATGTACTTCGTGTATAAGTCCTCACCTTTGTATACAATTAAGTAAATATATGTTTGAATTTTGTTTTTTCAGCAACAACATCAACTGATGAATGTAAGAAAGTGTTTACAAACTTTGTATTTATAATTATATTGTAATTGTATATTTATTTCTACTATTGTATATACATAATGAATCAGAGAACAGTGCTTTACTTGGGATTGAAGCAAGAAATAGAGATATCTGTGATAAGACCTCATAATATTCTAATTATACCTCAATATATTGTAACAATACCTCAAAAAATTATCCTCAAAATATTTGTTAATTGAGGTGATAGAACACAATTTTACCTTTAACTTTTCATTAAATTTTACATTTTTATCTGAATAATTTTACTGTTATTTATTTTTTGTTTGTTAAATTCTTGGTTATATTTGTTACTGTGATGCCCTAATCAAGCCATTGTTTTTGTTATAAATAAATAGCTGAAATAAGACATGTCATTTCTTTGCCATTTTGTTCTGCTGAGAAGAAATACTGAGGTCTGTTATACAGCAAGTTTTCATCTTATAAATCTCAAAGATGTCAAAACTTTAAAAATATCTCAACCCAATATTCACCTATCATTCTTAATGATAATTTTTGGGGCATGGATTCATAATGGACACAGCTTAAGCAGGGAAAGCAGGTTGAATACTATGAAGGTATCATCTCGAGCTCAGTCTAGATTAAAACCAACAGCACCAGGTTAGGATGAAGCAGATCACCTACTACACTGCATACAAGTCATATTTAGGTACATGATGAATTATTATATAATCGGTAGAGGAAAAACCTATATTGAATGTTTATGCAATCAGAAGAAGATAAAAGAGACAAGATTGTAAATTTCAACACTATTTATTAGATACGTTTCCCATTGAAAGGGTAATAAATAATAAGTACTATACATAATAAACATTTATAAATCAGTGGTCGGGGTTATCAAATTACCATTTTGCTTGAGTAAGGAATTATTGCTCCGGAACCCCCTATCTGCATAAAAATCTTAGCCCAACTTGAGACTGAATTAGATGAGGCAAATTAAGCAAAATGGAAATTTAAACCTTTGTTCAGGCATATATTAGTAATGAACACTATTTACATAAATATATTTATATATATGTATACATTTTTAACAACAACATTTTTCCAGCTGGGGCCTTATTCTGGAAATATTAGTTCATTCCAGTTATTTAATTGGTCATCAACAAATATGTTGAAAATATCGATTTTGTCGACCAATCAGATGACTGTATTTCATCAAGTCTTTCTCATTTCTAGAATAAGGTCCTCCTGTTGCTACTACATTCATTAAATAAGAAATTATTCGGCAATATGCATTTTTTGTTTCTAGATGTTACCGTTGATACAAAATACACTGAATTTTAATTAAACAAAAATTGTTACATGGTAACTAATAGAAAAGGCATAGTTAGTAAGGATATTGGCACACTTTACACCATGTTTTGATATGTTTTAAAAATTCAAAAAAAAAAAATTTACAAAAATACAAAGGATATTAGACAAGCAGGATATTAGACAAGCCTATATATTATTATGATGTATTTGACAGTTTTATATCTGGAAATAAAAAAATGTGAAATATTTTTACAAAAATAATGGTTATTTTATTATAAATATTAACTTTTTAAAGTGAGAACTTTAGTCATTTCGGCCAGAACATTTAAACTGCATCATTGACAAAGTCATAGTTTTATTTTGAGATCGTTCAGTATCAGTCAATTAAATTCCATAAGTTTAAGTGATTCTATCCATTTACAAAGTCCGTTACTTGAAATATTAAGAAAAGCTCTAAACAAAAGTCAATAACCAACTAACAAGACAACTCAGTCTATAATCTTCACTCTACCATACCCATTAACAAAACACTAAGCAAAAAACTAAAAATAAAAGAAAACATGCATACCAGTAAAGAACCCTAAGTGATAGGCTTGCTGAACTTATGTTATTTGGGCAGTATGCATGAAATTTTCGAAAGATTCAGTCACAATTACATACTACAAATAAGCTACAATGACTCAAGCACACAATGACAAAAACAGAGCATTAAATACCTCTTAGTTCAAATACAAAAGGCAGCATTATAAATGTTCCAGGCCTTAAAAGCAAGCATCCTATACCGGGATATATATTGGAAGCCAAATTTTTTTAAAGCAGGTTTAAGTGACAATGGCAAGAGAAATTTGCTAAAAGTGAAAAAAAACAAAAAACATATGATGTATGAAGCAAATATAATCAAAATAGTTCTATTAAGGTGAAAGCAACAAAATAACCACTTTTAGCATTTATAAGATATCTTCGTTTGCTATATTTCATGAACAAAGAAAGCCTTTGGTCAAGTTTTTTATCACAAAAAGAAAGCAATTGATACAAGTAGCTGTTAAGAATATTATGTTATTTGCATGCCATTTTAAGTTTGGGTACGTAAGATAGCAAGCCATTAGTCAGATAGTTTTATAATAGTTCAGTCTTGCAATATACACCTTTACAAGAACTCAAATTGAAGCTCATTACATTATCATAATTTAAAGAATGCTAATTTTAAAAACCTAGAAATATAATTTTCAACTTATTGATTTCTCAGCTTGAGATGAGCTTTGACTTTGTCCAGATGATGATGCTGATGGGTCACGTGACCAAGGAATGGCCTTGACCCTATAAAATTTAGTACCAACTGCAACTTTAAATCTATTTTGAGGCTGAAATAAATGAATAAGGATCAGAATAGTCTAGTTTGAATTTGAGTAAAACTAAGGTCAACAAATTTTCTGGCTGATAAGAACTAACTTTCATAGATTTTATATAAAAGTACAGGAAGAGGATATTGATCTTTAAAAGAAATAAGACTTGGAACTCTGGAACATATTCTCTATAAATATTCTCCACAAGAACCCTCACAAACTAATTCAACCTACCTTCTTAGCTTGGCAGTACTCTTTATCAGTTATTTCAGCTAAAACCCAGGATTTTCTAGGTTCACCAGGGGCTGTAATGAAATAATAATTTTCTATACTACAGACCAAAAATTTGACATCATTCAATGTAGTTATCTCCCTTACACGAATAAATATCAATTACTACAGACCAAACAAAGTAAGAAATAATTTGACATCATTCAATGTAGTTGTCTCCCTTACATAAAATAATATCAATTACAACAGTCTATAGTAACTCCCTAACATCAATGAATAACATTTAATACAGAGCTACAGACCACATGCGAACCGTATTTCACTTATCTACAAATGTAAACATTTAATAAAAAAAAGTCACATTTAATTTTCACTTGTCAAACAGAAATTATAGAGTAGTCCTACCTGTTTTCAGTCCAAGTATTTCCAGACAATCACTGTGTAGGAAATGTAGAGTAGTTCTAACAGTAAATACAACATATTGATCATGGGGTTCATCTAAACACAACAAAACTAGATCACCTATCTTAAAACTGAAAAATATAAAATTAAAATAATCACAAGCTGTGGGCCACACTCTAGAATATAACTTAGAGTGTATGTGGACTATTTCACAAAATCATAATTCATATAAAACCATATTTTTGCAAAAAATCTTGCAATAATTGGGCGCACCTAATGCTACTCTGTGAATAGGTTTTCCAACTCAGACTGCCTTTAATGAAGATAGCTAATAGCATTAATTAATATTAAAAATAACAATAATTATACCTCATTATTGAGACTTTATCTTGGGAAGAAGTTTTAGTACTAACTGTCATAGACATATCCATCTGAAATACAAACAGTTTCCTTGAAGTAAGATAAAGATAGGCACTGGTACAGGTTAGATAATCACATGATTCGGTGGAAAATGTATGAGTTAGAGGAGTATGAGTTAAATTGTTTTTAAATTGTTTTTTAACGTGTATCAGACTCCTACACCTACGGATTGACAACGAGCATGATTGATGAAGATTCTACAACCAATACTGCAGTTCAGCCAAGCTTTTATATCATCTCAATCAATCTCTCATGCCCCATTACCTGGCAACAGAGTAAATTCTGTTAACCTGGTAAGTCAGTTACAGAGATCTTTTCTAGAAAATAATGTAGAAATTTTGTGACTTACAAACTTTTCTTTTAACTTAGAAATTTCCACATCTTTACTTATTAACATCTAAAAACATAACAAGAAACACAATCAGAATAAATGAAACATTGGCATATAAGTTATTGAAAGTAGTTCAAAATTTTGTGGCCAATGTATCCGATATACTGATTCTAAAAGCAGCAATTGTACACAATCTTTATTGGACAAGATTAAATTGCTTCCAAAATTTTGTTATTAATTGTTATAATAAATTTTTCTTTTATAATATTATAATTATAGACTTATATTGTATATTATTCCGTATTTATGTTGAAAATGAACAATTTGCTTATTTAACCTATATTAATTCTGATTAACATTCTCACCCTCTCCATCTCTGGTACTGGTAATTGATATACAGAGTCTGAACAAGATGATCTGAAAAGAAAGATCGACACAAAGGTATAAAGATGACCTTCAAGACCGGGTGCTTCCTGGAGAACACATATCATCATTTGGTCATGACTTTTCACAGAAAACCAGTAGATCATCTTAAAATCAATCAGATAGGCCTATATTATTTTGAATAATCACAAATTTTATTCAACCAATTAGGGTCTTTTTCAGTTACTTAAGTTATACAGCTTAAATGTTCAATATTCAAATCTCTGAGGTCCTATGAGGAGGTTGTATGATCAAATGGGCAGCATGACATGTGCTCTGGTCACAAAATTAAGCTCTCTTTAAAGAGCTTTCAAGAAAACAGTAGACCACAGCTTTAATTCTTATTTTCAATATTCAAATCTCTAAGGTCCTATGAGGGTTGTATGATCAGATGGGCAGCATGTCACAAAATTAAACTCTCTCTACAGAGCTCTGAAGAAAATTGTGGTGGACCTACCCCTCTTCCACTATAGCCACTGATGTTTCTGATTGTCCCATCAACTGTTGTTGATATTGTGTGATCTGTTGTCTTGACATGGCTAGTTCATCTTCTAATTTATAGCGCATTAAACTGAAAATATTCATAATCATCTTATCACTATTACCAAACATATGCAGCTATCAATGTCCATATTAAACAAAAGATCAAATAAATATGCAAAAAAGATAAATGTGATTGACCACCTATATAGATGACCACCTCATTGAGTGAGATAATTTTAACATGTCCTGTATTTATCTTAGAATTAACAGACCAGCTATTGAAATTATGAAAGCATAATTCTTACTTGAATTCCTTTTCCTTTTCAGCCATTTTTTCACTCCAAGTATCCTCTTCTGATTTTGCACCAGAAAGTTTATCAAAACTCACTTTAAAATAAAAAAGGAAATTTTTTTGGGTTCTGTAATTTGGGACAAATACAACTGAATTTGAAAAATTAAGCTTCATTTCAAGTGCCTGTAAAACTTCTCAGATCATTCTTCTTTCACCTTTCTTAACAGTCTTATGGATGCTGGAAATTGATCTCCAGCAATAGGGAAGTGAATATTTTCTATCCTTCAAGTCTACCTTATGCATAGAAATCAAGAAGTAATACTTACATTTCTGATCCTCTAAATCAGCTTTCAATTTCTGTTCAGATAATTTCAGGCTCTCAATGACTTTATCTTTTTCTCCTCTCACCTTTTCTACGGCTTCATTAAACTGTATCTGTACAAAAGAAATATGTGAAGGCTGGATTTAGGACTAAGGTGACATAAACTGGTGAACAAAATAAATGCTGGAAAGGTTTTATATTGGTTTGTTCCAATATTTAAAAAATATGATGATTACCTACCTGTTTTTCAGCAGTAATGCTAGTTTTAAAGTTAGTCAAAGAGTCTTCTCTTTCCTTCTGGAATTGTTGTTCCAAGCTGGAAATTTCCAGGAAATGTTGAACCCTTTCTTCTTGAAGGGCCTGAAAAAATTGATCATAATTTTTTACATTAGTGTGAAGTAAAACTCAACTAAATACTATTTCTAAAAGAAAGCTCAGTTCTGAAATGGCTGAAATAGCATTAGACAGTATGCAAAGACCATTCACATACCTTTTCCAGCTTCTCTTTATATTGTGCTTCAATTCTTTCTAAATTGGTCAGTTGGTCTGGATGTTCCAGAGACTTTTCTGTCTGCTGTTCTTGATTCTCCAGTCTTAAACTTGTCTGTTGTTCTTGATTTTCAAGTAACATTTCTGTTTGCTGTTCTCTTTCTTCTGCTGAATATTCAGTTTGTTGTTCTTGGTTTTCCAGTAACATCTCAGTCTGTTGCTCGTGGTTTTCCAGTACCTTTATACATTTCTCCTTTTCATCAGCAAAATGCTTTTTCAATTCAGCCATTTTATCAGAGTTAGCTTTCTCTAAGGATTCCCTCAACTCTGCCAAAGCTTTGTTCTGATCTTCTTGAAATTTCTGAGAGAGTTCTGCAAGTTTTTCTTCGTGGTTTTTCTTCAACTTTTCTGTTACTTTTTCAATTTCAGCATCTTTTTCATTTGAAATTTTCTTCTTGAACTCTTCCATTTCTTTTTCAAGTTTTTGCCTCATTTCTGCCTCAGATTGAGACAAATTTTCTTTCTGTTCTTTTTCTAAAATGGCCTTAATTTCAGCAATTTCATCATCCTTCTGTTTTTTGTAACTTTCTTCCAAAATGTTACTAATTTCTTCTTTTTCACGTTGAAATTTGGTATTCAGTGTTTCTATGGCAACCTCTTTCCCATGAGAACATTCCTCCAATTTGCTTTCGGATTTTTGGATCTGGTCATTCAGTGTTTGGATCGTGGTTTCTTGTTTGGTCAAATTTTCACCTAATTCTTCACGTAGTTTATCTAGCTCTAACTCCAACTCAAGCAAATGTTTCTGTTTCATTTCATCCAACTGGGTGGAATGCTGAGTTTTTAAATCTCTTAATTTTGATTCTGATTGTACTTCCAGAGCATTTTTCACGACTTTCTGCGCCTCAAGTTCGAGTCTGATTTTCTCGCAATTTTCTTTCAAATCACGAACCAACAATTGTTCTGTTTCTAACGACTTAAGGAGTTTTTCCTTCTCTAAAGTAAATTCTTTGCTCAGATTCTGAGCCAAATCTCCATGAGAATATTCTAAATGAGTCACAAATTTATTTACAACTTGCACTATTTGGTTTTGGGTCGAGGTTAAGTGTTCCTTCAATGTTTGTCTATCACTTGATACTAGGGATTTTAGATTACAGATACTTTCTCTCAAAGGATCTAAATCTTTAACCACTAAATAATGTAACGATTTTAATCTATTTTCAAGATCTACGACAATTTCTTGTTTTGATCCCAATTCTTTTTCTAAACTCACAATAATTTCTGTTTTATCAGAACTTGAAGAGAGACCACCTTTCTCCGATACGGCAGATTTATTCGGTGGAGAATCAATCATAGAAGAAGGCATCGACTCATCGAAATAAAAATCAGCCGTAGCAAATTCTTGAGATGTTTCCATTTCAGGAGATGTATCAGAAGTGAGCCCACTTTTCCCTAAACTTTTCTTCCTTAAAGGTTGTTTACGCACACTTTTCTCACTACTCTTTCCCTCACTTTCTGACGACTTCTGAACATCTGTCTCAACAAACGGTGCTGATCTGTCTCTTTCTTTTCTCGGACTTGGCACAACTATTTCATCCCTTCCCAAAGGACTACCAACATTTATTGCCTTGACTTGAGAACTCATCTCTGCAGTCAATGTTTCTGAAAGACTCTGTGGAATTGGAAATTCTGGTTTTTCTACAATGGGTATTGTTTGAGGATCGATTATTATTTGTGAATTTTCACACACAGCCACTTGCTCCCCCAGTGACATCTTACTACCGTCTATATGTACAAATAATTGCTCAGCGCTTCCCTGCAGGACATCAATCTCTGAATGAGCTGTTGATACAGCGCCATCAGAACCTGGTTTATCATGAAAACTCACACTGGTACCCACTGTCTGGAATGACATTCTTTGACTAACAGGAATGTCATTTGGAACCCTGAAATCACAAGTATGTACAATTAATTGTGTCTATTAGAATGGAACAAAATGACTATTTCATTAAATACTCTAAGAAAGTTAAATTGGCAGAGAGAGTGGTGACTGTCTAATTTAGAAAACACAACACAAATTATCAGAATATATTTCTTTTAGGGGGTTTGTAACCTTCACTAAAAATTAACTTAAAGATGACAATACAGTTGTAGTTAAATATGGTCAAAATGATGTTGGTGTAACGAAAATGCAGGTTGCATTTTATGTAATTTGAAATAATACTCTTCAAAGGACTTCTTGCTGAGACATCACAATCTCAAACTCACAGCATTTGATCATCTAGATGAATATCGAGTTGTAGTTAACGCTCTATAAATGATGATAAAACTGTCAGTCTTACCTGAATACATCCTGTAATTCAGGAACAGCTTGTCGTAACATTTCAACATCTTGACTCGTTATTTCTGGTAAATTTTTATCAAACACAACAGGAGCCTCAGTCTGAAAAGGTACAATTGTATCACATTCAAAGTCTTGACACCATTAAAGTGATATAAATTCTGTCATTATGAAACAATTTGAGACTATACCTTGTGAGTATACAGAGGGAAGAGTGGCTGTAGTTGGTTTAGTCAGATTTATTGTGATGGACATTTTCAGAGCAGAGTTAAACCACTCTACAGTCTTCAAGCATGTTATTAGTGAATCACACCACAAGTTGATGTCTTGAAATAGGATTAATGATACTTACTGCAAAGGGAGGTGGAAGATCTTCAAAACCTTGAAATAAAGACTGGAGAAAATGTTTTCCTGAAAGAAGTTTTAAATTATCACTATAACAATTCTACACACTGAGAATATATTTCTAGTCTTATGTCTACATTTTTCTGTATTTTATTCATTTCTCTGATCCGTTACAACCGACATAAAAACCACATTTGAAAAACCAAAACAAAGCCAATACCATGAGGCTTGTCTTACTTGAGGACTGAGAACAGTAAAAAGGAATAAAGAAGAAAGGTTTAATACCTAAGTCTTGTTGAAATGCATGTCTACGTTTTATTTCTTCTGTATGTAACTGTTTAGCTTCTTCAGCCAGGCTGTTGGCCCACTAGAAAATACAAAGATAATATCAGGGAGCTGTTAACAATTCTTTTTTCTTTTGTTTCACTAATTTCTAGGAAAATATTCTGCGTAATTCCTACAAAGTTTAAAAACTGTTGTTACTTTCTTATATCCTTCAAAATGGATGTAGCTTGCCATTTTCTCTAGTGAGATCTCATAACATGAAAATATTGTAAAATTTTTCACATTTCTACAGCTTAATAAAATGGTATTCTTGAGACAGATTGGTATAAAATCATTCTTACCTCCAGAAACTGTACAGAATACATGCGTCTTCGTACCACCTCTACGACTAGCTGTGCATAAACTCGTGGTGCTTCATCTATTTGTTTCATTATATCTAACTGTTTGTGAAGTCGACGTAAACTCTCGTGATACAACGTTAATTTCCCATCAATATCACAAATCTTCTTCTCTACAAACATTACCCATCTACAAAACATAAAGCATGTTAAAATCTTGTTCATCTATATTGTCTGCTTAAAAAATGAGTCTTCCTTAACCGTTTCAACCCTAGTGGCCAGTGTACCTACCATACACTTACACAATATATACCCGAGCAGCTGGTTACCCGGCCGTTGCTAAGTGACGTCATACAACGTTAACGTCATACGCTTTTACTTTTATTACTTGGAGTTCAGGGTATATGACGTTATATTTCATTTACACTCAGGGTTAAGATCAAAGATTGTTAGAATCAGTAACTTGATGAGGATTTTAAATTACTAACACACATTGACAACATAAAACAAGTTCTTCTCAACAAATATATCAGTTGCAAATAAGATAGTTGACCGAGAGTTGTATGGGTGCATAAGTAAGAACATCCTCCGAACAGTCCCCAAGTGTTTCAGACAGTAAAACCAGCACTAGCAAATAATAAATAGAATCAAACACAAACCTTAATCTTGTGTGCAGATTAACAGCCAATTCCTCTTTCGCCATTCTACATTTCTTCTTGATATCCCGTAATTTTTTATGATTGCTTAACATGGATATTAGTTGTTTTTTATGACTAGCACAGAGATCAGGTAGAATAGATTTATCTTTCAGGTTTGACGCACGACTTTGATTCTGTCTAAAGCCCTGAAATGATATAAGGTAAAACATTTACTCTCAAAGATAGCAACAAAACATCTATTTGCATATTGCTGAGCTGACAATAGATCAATAGGAAGGCATACTTAATATGGGCCTTTTGTCACGGTTGAAGAAGGTTCTGTCTTACAGCTGGTCCTTGGTCAAACATATTGGCATTGATCTTTACCATTTATAGCTGGGTTGACTGGATTACAAAGAGGAGCAATTAAAAAACTAGGTGAATACTAACCTTAGCCATGTCTGATTGTTCTTCAACTAATTTTCTAGCACCACTCATGATCTGGTCTAAACCGTAAAGCCGATCTTCCAGTCCTTTAACTTCCTTCATACTAGTGTTATTAACATCCTCAATTGCTACTGATACTCCTCGCTTTAGCTTCTCAGGTACTGCGTCATCGAACTAGAATTAAAGTTATTACTGTATTGTTAATTGTGTATAAGTTAGACAGACACCATAAATCCCTTGATAAAGTGGGTCTATAATTTTTGCATACACCGTATAATTGAGAATATAATCTGCTTGTATATACACAACCCATTTAGGCTTTCTTATCTTCAAGTAAGTCAGGAAAATTCTGTCAGACAGCTTATGAAAACAGTCTGTTTAAATTTGCACTTGCTTCAAATTAACAAGAATCATAAAATTTATCAAATTTGTAAAAACAAAGATGTATATACACATATAGTTTATAAAGAAATGGGTGATGATAAAAAGATAATAACCTGTTCAGCAGCTTTTATACATCTATCTACCATATCCTGTAGGGTATGATGAGGATCCTACAAATATAAACAACACTTAATCATTACGTAAGTTCTTAATGAAATAGGTAATTCCACTGAATGTCCACATAAAATGACCTAAAGCGTATAACGTTAACATTTGAAAGAGTTGAAGTAGTAAGCTGTAACGGTTACCTGTGAATTTATCCATTGAAACAGCGTACTAACAGACGTCACATCTGCCGATACTTCACTACCAGGAGATCTACTAGTAGATAGTGCTGCCACCTCGCCCATTCCCTGACTAATGGGAAGACAACTCAATAATGGTATTTTAGTTTGTAAATGCAATGATTCACCAATGCTGAAAACAGATAAATAAAGAGAGATTATATTAGAATATAGTACTCCTAGGTTATATTGTACATATTTCAACAATTTATATTGACATTATCAGGTGAAATGAGGCAGTATATTACAAGAAATTATTGCAATTGCAACAATAAATTGGAGATAAATGGCCCTTTGAAACAAGGTAATAGAAACGACGCAACTTCCAAATGAAATTACAAATTTTATCGTTCATGCCTATACTCTGAAATAATATAGGTTACTTACTGAGCTAAAGTGTCTAAATAGTCTTGTCTTTTAGCCAAGTATTTCTCATATTCACTTTGAAATATATTAGATCGACGTATTAATGCTCTGAAATAAATAAAAGTGGAAATGGGTATTACATCTATTTTGATTTCGGGGAAGGTAGGGTTTGAGTATACCAAATGTACAGGCCTAAGATGGAACAAGTAGTTCAATGGAAACTTGGCCGAGGCGGTACTGTTATAGAGACTATGTATTATTCTATTTCCAAGGCTCTTCAGTTATCTTAAGGGAGACTACTCTAACTAAATGCTATGAAGTTTAAGACCACAATATGAGAAATAAGTTTGATTACTTACACAGTTATATCCTCAAGATTAGCTACGACAGCTGCCCAGCCTTGTTGTTGTAGATGTTGATCATGAACCAGATTAACACACGCTTTTAATTCATCTTCATCTACTTCATGAAATTGCTGGAAAAGTGAACAAAAAATTGCAGATTCAGAAAGCAAAACTGATCTATAACTGTATATTACTTTAGCCTATAATTCACATGTTCGAAATAAAGGACCAAATAGAAAGATCAGGAACTGACTTCCAAGTTTGACACCTTCATGAAAAGAGTTTTATTTCAATTACCTTTTATACAATAATGAAAAAATTAAACAAAGAGAATTATATGCAGATATCCATAAAAGAATCTAAAGGAATCCATACACTAAGCCATAACCATTACAATGAAAAAGTACAGAAACCTACCACAGCTAGTTGAGTTCTAGATACCACTGTTTCATACGCTGGTGGCATCAATAATGACCCTTCTACCTGACCATGTAGATCTATATCTGGAACAATACAATGGTCAAGTAATAATATTGAATAAACTTTAGCATTTCAAATAACATTATCGACTCTAATTCTATCTGCTTGTGAACACAAATCTTCAGGCATTGTAAAGAGGGAAAGATATTTGATTGATAAATAAAATAAAATTAATATGGTTCAGCTTAATCAGTTTACAATTAGCTTCTATTTCAACTTCTCATTCAGGATATGATATTAGTATGATACAATATAGCCTTTAATACAGGACATATATCTAATTTAAATAAAAAAAACTAGAACAATACTATCCCTGAAACCTTATCTTATCATTGACCTGTCAGTAAATCCTTACCTGATCCATGATGTACACTAGGTGATGGTGGGGTGGCAGCTTCTATTGTTGTTTTACTGAATAAATAGATTGGATTTGTATCCTACAAAAATAAATATAGTAACTCATCTTTTGCTGTCCAGGTATCTACATCCTATATATCTCAAGTAGTACGTTACAGGTAAAAAAAACTGATTGAAAATTGATTTGATTATACTTACAGTGCCAGCTGAGTACCGCCCTACTCTAGCATGAGGATCTAAACTCTCTCCACCACTAATCAACAATACTTGTTTATCTTCCGAGATATGACAAGCTCTTGATATTACAGTTTGTAATTTAGACACACTGAAAATTAAAGAAGAAATAATTCTAATTGTGTACGAAATGCATTGCAAGTCTTCCTAGCAGAACTCCACACAATATTAACGATAGTGAGATGAAATTCAAACTAAGCAACCAAAATAATATGTTTGCAAATAGACAAGACCTGCAGTGTCAAGTGAGGTGTACGGCGAGGATTATAGAAAAATGAGGAAGTGAATCGTTTTTGCAGAGTGTACTGTTTCGTACCTAGTCTGTTTGCTACTATGCCATTTTCTACTGTATCATATACCCTGCACTGTAAATCACCTATTCAATGTTAGAATAAGTCAGGTCCTAATGTGCTCTCTCATAGAAAACATTATTTTTTATTCAAAAGTTCCACTCACCTTTCCATGGCCAGGTTCATGTCAAAGGTCAACATGGTGCCTGTATCTACTAGAAATACATATAACATGATGGCTGTTAAGTTTCACTCCCACCTCAACTATTTAATGTCATCTTAAATAACTGTCAAACTGAACCATTACTTACAATATCTACTAGCCTGCAACGATTAATAATATAATATTAAACGTGGAACAAATTACAAACAAGTCTCAATTTGTTTTTTAAACAGTAACTTCATTCATGTAATATGTTATCAAAATACAACTAAACAACACATTATTTATTTAAATCAAAAACAAGATCTGTCGAAGCCATATGGCTTTCACAAATTACAAATATTTAGTCTTAAAATATTAATCTTCAGTCTTTTGTCATCCTAAAATCTGGTAATATAGGTGATTTCCCCGTAACAAGTTAGGAGTTAAGCAAAATGAATTTAAAAAAAAAACAACCTGCCTTTAACAATAAATAATATCAAAATACATGAATACAATAGGTCCATAAGAAGCCTTTCAATGTAATTGTTGATTCAATAGATCAAAGCTTAACCATTCATACTACAGGTAGTACTAAGAAACCATGAATATGAAACAAGGAAAGTAACTACTTTACACTACTTGAAGAGAGGTTTTGATAAATTTTCCTCAGAATGTTTTTTATTTTTTACATCAATATTTCATCTTTAGTAAGTGTACAAAACAGATAAAAAAATTAAGCTACAAATTCTTTGTTTTGAAAACAATTGTGTCTCACTTTACTCAAAATTTACTCAACATTTAATTTAGTTTGCTTAGGCTTTTATATGCATAGCTAAGAAAGAAAGACACAAACAATCATTTTCTACAAGGTCTTGATACACAATGCCATCCCTATTGCAACTTAAGCAAGGCATCGATGTGAAAGCAGTTCCCTTCATATGAATCTGTTATACCTTATTTCAAATCCAGAAATTCAGCTACGATTATACACTCAAATCATCAAAGTGGAAAATTATGCTTCTGCTTATGTCTCACATGAGATCCTTTGAAAAACTTTTGCATACAAACCTATTACCCTGAATGCATGAAGCATAAGCTTATTTTATGCAATCTTATTAGGCTTATAGGCCTAGACACCAAATCTGCTGACATATGACTTTTGATCTTGCAAACCTGGGCCTACTAAATAAACCTCCTATAAGCTATAAAGCTTCAACAAGCTGAATGATGAATGATTATGCAACAATAAATAAAGATAGTAGATAGTCTTAATACAGAAGTAAACAGTTAAGGTTCAGTAGGACAGACAGACATTGACCTCAATTTCAAAATTCAAAATAACAACACAAACTTACAGTTGACAGACATTTAAATACCTCTACTTTTAATTTGCACGAATATGAATCTTAAAAGTCATCATCCCACACGTGTAATAATAACAAATCTTACTAAGAAATCTAAATTTACGGGCTGACACAATTTCTTGATCTATAAATAGGTCACATTTATCAATAATAAAGGTAGACATCAACTGCGCATCATAATCAGGGCAGATCAAATATTTTCAAGATGGAATGACATTTCAAGAGTATAAATACTTGCCTAGACGCCCAGAATGTTGGTTAAAAAGATGGCTGTGTCAGTTCACATAATGAAATGATTTGAAGGTTAAATTCAGCTGTCAAATTCTTGTGTTTTTGTTTTTCTTTCTCTTGGATTATGGAAGATGTTTACATTATATTCTCTAACCTCCCTAACAAAAGAATTACAATTTAAGGGGAATAACTCCATTTTAATGGTATATGTCAAATTACAGTTAAATAACATCTGAACATTCTTCATCTTAATCATAAACCCTACTTATTTCAAATCAATTTCTGTACCCTTTTGACTAACATAACAAAAGTTTATGATTTCAGAAGTACTATAAATGTACGAAAATCTCAAAAAACTTCAAACTAGTAATTTTACTCCCTATACAGAATATCTTGACGAGTTGCCATTTTAACATTCAAACGCAGATAATTCCGGACACACTTGCATTTGAAGGCTCAAGACAAGTTTAGAGTTTGGCATTCAAAACTCGGTATGTATGTGGAAGAAAATGACTCCGTCGACCCTACGGTCCTGTACAATCAATACCGTCCAAAATTGCTACATGTAGCCTTAGCCGAAACATTTCTCGTATTTGTAAAGAATCGTGTATTAGGGCTACAAACTTTAAACGTTATTAATAGTAGGCTATGTCTATGCAACCAATACTACTGGCAAATAGAATTATTTAGTCTTACAATAGCGATTTATTTTCTGTTTTAACGATTTTTTGTTCTTGAATATTAATGTATATATAATGTTATACTTGACCTGTTTTCTCACCTTGCTGGCTAAGTATCATATTTTGTCAGCTTATATTGTTTATGTAGATGAAGGGTGAATAGTCTCTATTCAATGTTCAAGCATCTGTAACGGTAATTTCTCTTTGACTGGTAGAAAAGGTAAATATCGTTTCATATTTTTTGATAATTTGGCGTAGGCCTTTATAAATAAGCGGAGTCCGAAAACGGCTTCTGTTGGGTCGCGATGTGGGTACTACTTGAAAAGAAGGGAGTGTAGGAGAAATTGATTTTATAGAAGACAGTCTAGAAAACAATTACTATCTATATTACAGGCGACGTTTAAACCATGTTTTTCTAGTCAGTTTGTGCCTGTTAAAGATTCCTAGTCTGTTGCAAAATAGCTTAAACCGATATCGCTTTCCCTTATTGTACACTATAGTATACAGCCTATTAGCCATCTTCACAATGTCAATCTGTTACGTAATTCGTACTTATACCGTGACTGAAATAGCCACCTTTCTTGTATCACAGAAGTTTGTAAATGAAGCGATGTTATTGGATTGCTAGTGAATACAGTCAATCACAGCCCTTCATCATACAAGAATTGTGGCTATTGCAGTCAAGGTATAAGTACGAAGTTCGTATTAGCTTGACTTTGTCTATGCCACGTACATTAGTAGGAGGAATGTTATTTCATTTTACCAGTCAATGACCCCGGTTAAACGTGCAATAATTTAAACAAATTTCAATTAATTGATTAATAAGCCTTTAACTTTTATCTCTAGTTATTTTTTGTCTCTACGATTATAAAACTTTTCAACTTTCAGACGGATTTAACAAGATGAGTTGGATAGTAATTTTAGTTGCTGTGTTCATTCTTCTTCTCTTGGCAAAGAATTGGATTCAAAGTTGTACTGAGAGAGCTCTACCCCCGGGACCCTCCCTCGTGAACAGTTTTAAGATAATGATGGGTTTTATCTGGAGGGACGATGTAATCAACGTTGCTGATAAACTAGCTTCCAAATACGGGGATATATTTGTTATTCGGTTTTTAGGACACAATATGGTATTTATGAATAATTCAAGGGTGATCAGAAAGGTTTACTCTGCAGCTGGTTACCGTGATAAAACTAATGATAGAGCTCCGTCGTTTCTGAGAGCTTATCTCTATCGTGGTGGTAAAGACATAGCTTTCTGTGATTACAGCGATTTTGTTATGAAATTAAGGAAAATTGTACACAATGTAGCGAGGTTGTACGGTGACGGGATTCGGGAATTTGAAGAGATGGTGTCAAAGCAACTCCGTGATTTAGAAGAAAAATTAGAAAAAGGGGTCGGACAGGAAAAGTTTGATTTGATGACAGAATTACACGAATCTGTAATCAAAACAGTTCATATCTTTGTAAGTACCTACATACATTTTATATCATTATATCGTGTATAAAAACCTCCATCAAAACCTTAATCATTTAACTGACGGAGTTGTAAAGAAGAATGGGAAAGCCTATTCCTCGACTGTGTTATAGTACTATGTGGGGCATTGCAAAATGGCCCAAAATGTTTTGATAGTATCAATAATGGTTCAGTTGTGTATAGTATTGCCAAATTGAACTTTTGAACGTGAGGTAGCATCATATTTTTCATTTTTCAGATAACCAACCAAGCACCAGATGAAGAAGTAGTTTCAGTTGTCAGTGATTTTAACTCTAGTTTTAATAAATCATTGACAGTCAATAAAAACATCATTCTAGGATTATTCCCATGGTTGAAATATCTCCCAGGTGCCAATCGAAGACTGGTTCAGGAGTTGGATACCAATAGTCAACGCTTGATAGAGTTTTACCTCAATCCAAAAGCCAGGGAGGTTAGTTTTTTATATTGATTAACCAAATACATTTATTATGCCATTTATACAACTTTAGTGTGTTGCAATTTGTCAAGGTTTTGTATTCTTAACGAATACTTTTATTTATTCTTTGGGTGGCAATCACGGTCTGTTTTCATATTGATTTGTTTTTTTATAATACTGACCATCAGCCTGCCGTAAGGGAAACTAAAAATGGTATAGCATTACTTGTCATTGGTGTTTCTAGGAAGCATTATTAGAGGGACCGTGCAGGGGGGGGGGGGGGGGGGGGGGATTCTGTTTTCATTGATATATGGCAATGACTCATAAACATATTCATTAGAATTTAAAATTTCTTAAATTGAAATTTCAAATAACACATCAATATTGTTTTCATAATCATAATGTACTCTCTATCCTCTCTTAACGATACATGACATGTGGCTTTTTTTCAATTATCGTTGGCTATGAAAGTTTACAAGAGTGAAAGACACAGTCACTGAATGCCAAAAGGTGTGCAGACATGAGCCCAATTTTCTTTTCTTTACACCAATTATTTAACTGATTCATTCAGTGTATCAATTCAATACAATATTATTACTTTTTATTATCCAAATGTGTGTAGCATGTTAAAGGAAATGGTGGATTGATTGATACTCTATTAACAGAACAGGCGAAAGATCCCCAACTTACTGATGAATTCCTCCAGGGTAAAGCTCCAACATAATGTTTAAAATCACTTTCACTTAACTCTTTCTGACTCATGTCATATCTTTGTTAACAAAGCGTACACAGTGGCTTTTCTACTACTGGGAGCCAGGGGTAAAGGTTTGGCCTCCCCAAAAAACGAAAAAAGAGCTAGCTTTGACTCAATACACTGACCTCTGTACACACCTCCCCATACACTTCCCATTTCTTATCATTGTACACAGTCCAAGCATTGTCTGTGAAACCCTTTATTAACAATTCTTTGGCCCCTCCTTGCCATCCTCATCTTATGATTCACTGGGTGTACAACAATTTCAAACTGATCTTTTGTATTCAAGGAGTGATAATGGACGCCGTGGCTGGTGGTTATATCTCAACAGCTGGAGCACTTTGTGGATTCTTTCTGCTTATGCTTCATTATCCCGAAGTTCAGCATCGAATACAGGAAGAACTGGACGAGAAGGTCAAAGGGAGACAACCTAGTTTAGACGACAGACCGACTTTACATTATACCAATGCTACAGTATTAGAAGTTTTCCGATATATACGACATGTGCCGCTGACTCTACCTCATCAGAGTAAAGAGGATATTGAAATAGAAGGTTATAGAATACCAGCTAATTCCCCGGTATGTATTCAAACAGGCGGTTTGTTGACAACATGGACGGTACGGTGAAATTAAGCAAGCAGTTGCAGAAGGCCATATCCCGTACCTCTTAGGTTTGTGACAGGACTTATATTGTAGCGAAATCCGTTGAAATCCGTTGGCTTCAAGCCATTCAAGGGGCTTGACACCTCTTGTTTTGCCCCCGCACGTATGTTTCCTAGAAGGATTAATAGTATTGGGTTGACTTTTTCAAGACTAAAACATTAGGCTAATAAAACCCTTGTATTTGGATGTGTAGGTTTAGTATTATCTCTTACTTTTATTTCTTTTCCCCAGATCATAGCCAATTTATGGACATCTTTTCGTGGCAGTAACGACTGGGGACCAGATGATAATAAATTTAAACCGGAAAGATTTCTTGATAATGAGTGGAAACTGTTGCCAGTTGATCATCCCCTCAGACAGCAGTAAGTTGGCTTAACTAAATATCATGTTATACGTTTCAACTGATAGGGGGAGAGGGTTGGTTTTGGTGGTAGAACTAACTGACCTAGTGCTGCGACCCAATAATACTGGCTGACAGTTGACCTTAACGCTACTACTCCCTCACACTTAATGGTACCTACAAGCCTATGCAGTGTCCCCACATTGAGTGAGGCTGGTGCCGCCACTGATGCAATTTGGATTTTGTCGACCAAGTTGCTAAGGCTTACTTTACCTGTTGCTTAAAGCTATTATCGATATGTCCTATGCTTATTAGAACAGCAGATTTTAAAGTCTGTAGTTTCGGATTGGAAGGGCAAAGCGAACCAACGAATCAACCTGAAGTGTTAAAATTCGAGAAATTATGTAGACCAATTGTTAAAACGTTATGGATGCCCATACAACTTTAAAATATTGTCTCTTTTCAGGTGGATCCCATTTGGTATTGGAAAACGAAATTGTGTCGGAGAATCATTTGCCAAGTCTCGTCTGTTTTTATACGTGACAACACTATTACAGAAGTTTGAATTTCAAACCGGAAGTAACAAACTCGCATCAGAAGATTCTGCCTATTGGGATAATAATAGTGCCTTACAACCGCCTTTTATTAACTGTAAAATTGTTAAACGAAAGTAGATTAAAATTTTCCTGTTTACGTGTACTTAACCAAAATAAATGTGTTTCGTGGATAGGTGGAAGACATCCTGAGTGGGGTGTGGAATTTTGCCCCTGTCCACTGTAGTTATGGTCTTGAGGGTAAGGTGAATAGTAGGACTTATCGTGATGGCACAATTTTCAGACTATCTACAGATAATGGAAAACATAAATCCTGGGCATCAATATGCGATGTCAATATGCGATTCGTTTCATGGGCTTGTACGACATAGAGTAGAGAAGTTTGAAAAATAGAACATATTCTTTCTGCAAGCCAAGCATTTATTATATTCATTTTTTATGGAGACACAAACAATAACAATTAACGAATAAACAACAATATAGATCGATTCAAACTAGATTCTTGAAAAATAAACATATTTCATATTCCCATTATCCTTTGAAAAAGTTTTATATTCGGAGGCACCCAAAAAACTGTTAAAAAGACTGGTTATGAGGTATATTTGACTTTTGACCTAATAATCATGGGTATCAGGATCCAAACCAAAGTGTATGAGAGCAATGCCACTTAGTAAAATCTTTATTTAGTCAAGCTTTGCATCAGATTCAGCATACGGAAACTGCCGATGATTGCCGATTTTCATTTCCGGTTAAAATCTTAAGGAGTATAAATAATTACCAATAAAATATGCTTATTTTTAAAATAAGACACGTCACTCTTATACAAATATACATAACACACAATAAGCCGATTATATTTTGCAATATATAGTTTATTCAAGGAGCAAACTGGAATATGTAACTAGGGGAGATAAGATAAATTTGTTTCATATGATACAGTAAATAGTTCAATTGTTCTAAAAGTAATAATTTACGGTATTGGATAGACCATACCCGAGTCATTTATGAGATATATACGTATACCACAGAAGTGGTTTTGAAAGCAGTGTTGCTCCTTGAAGTCGATTTAGACGTTCCAAGTCGTTGCCGTATCAGTCCAATGAGATCATAATACAGTAAAATTGAGTAAAATAAAAAAAGATTTAAGCCTTCTGGCATTTTTTAGCATTCTTCATGATTATACTGAATGCTACAGGCTTGCCTTCAACTTCTGTTAAAACTCGTCTCTCTGCTTCAGCGATTAACTTCTGAGCCTCGCTGGTACTGGTGTTCAAACAAGTGAATTCAACTCGTTTCTTGTTTCTATCAGCGAATCGACAGCCACTTGGACATTCAGCAACAGGCTCTAGAGAGAAACAGGCTCTCTTTCCTTTACTTCGTGTTTTTACTATGGTTCTTTCTACGGGAGCACATGCAGGACCTAGAAAGACATATGATGAAATATTTTCTAAATCTGTAACCGTTAGTTTAAAAAGATGGGTATTGGAACAGGGTGACATTTAATACCCTTCGATTAATTTGTCTTTACCCATGACTTACAAGAACACATTTGTTTTCTCCATTTGTAAACGGCCATACTTATATCCGGCCTTGAATAAATGTAAATTCATATTTCAAATAACGTTAAAAAATGTTTGTGATAATCTCTTTAAAAGTAACAGAGTGATCGGCCATTGGTAATAATTTCCTCGTTGCATACTGCATGGCGTTGAGGCCAATGTTGTAAGAACCTGTCGATCATGTTATAAAGATATGCTTACCTTCTCGGCTAAATTGTACTGGACTAGGACTCATGGTTGAGGGTTCATCATCCGGGTAATTGGCAGTGGCTGGGGTATCTGGGTCATTTGGTGCGGAACAACTTCCGTTATTGACAATGTAACTGGTAGCGAAAGGCATCGGTGATTCGAAGATCTTGCCAGTTGGACCCTGTAATTCTTTAGTTATCTGACCATCAAAGTTGCTGCAGAGACCACAAGTCTTGCCACGGAACATCACGGATGGCTGCAATCAAAATTAAAACTTGATTTTATAAACAAATGAATTCATACAAAAATGATAAATAATGAAGAAAATTAAGCTCCATTCAGCCTCTAATTTTCAAACTTCAACCGTCTTGGTCAATTAGCTCAACACCTCAACATTATAAAGAGAAGTTGCTTGGAAGCTGTATCAAACCCAAACAATACAATTTCAGGAAAGGCGCAGGAAGTTCCTGAGCGAAATCAGGATATTGTTCGGTTGTCTGAGCAAGTTTCATATAACAGGAATTATGAAGCCCTTTCTTTTAATCTAGGATTGACCAAATCGAGCTAATACGCTAATATAACTAAACACAAAGTCTGTATTTGTTGGTGTAAATCAATATCGCAATTTTTTTTATCAAAGAATAAGTTACTTACTGAAACTTGGACATAGTAAGCGTCAGTCATTACAGTAAGACCAATAACTGGCAGGTCCACCATGATCATCTTCTGGTAAGATTTGTAGACAACCATTATCTTGATAGCAACAGCTGGTCTGAAACAAGAAAACATACCCCTCACTAACAATTATGGGGTCATTTTGAAAACAATGTCATGCAGGTGCAGTCAAATAAAAATATATCAGATAATAACTAATATTATTAAACTTATAACTACTTTGGAGGTTTCTACTACTATACTACCTTTACACCCGATTTTGCAAATTTTTGAATGAGATTATTGATTGACGGAAATGTCTTACTGGTGCAGATTTTTATTACACAAACAACTGATACCAACAACATGCAAATTTTTCAACGCATGATCATTGATTGGCTTTCACTGCCAAAACACCAAGACAGAACGCTCAGAAAGATGCTGATAATGGCCAAATTAGATGGTGATTCATATTTTTCTGACGATCCCATTTTAGCTTTTATAAATCATACACTTACCTATTGTAGCTAAGGGTCTTTTCGATAACAACAGGTGTTTCCATGGAAACGGATTTAACGGTGCCATCAATTTTTACTGTTGGAATTTCAGAACCCGATGGAACAATTTCAATCACGTGACCCAAAGCCATTACCTCTATTACCTATAATTAAAATAACATATTATGGGATAGATATGTTCAGCCCCACTAATTATATAAGGGACAATTGTTTATGGAATGGATGAATCAGAGGATGAATCCTTCTTGCCACCTGTGGTAGTTTTTATGGGTAAAGTTGAACATCTTGGTTTTTTTTTCAATTTACCTTAGATGCATTCCAAACAGCTCGTGGTGCAGCAGGCATAACGGTTGGTCTAGCAATTACGGCGAATGATTTACTAGGTGAACAATCCATAGCTAATACTGTAGGACAAGTTCCCAGTTTTGGTACAGGGATAAAAGCAGTGTCAAATGTCCTGATGAGGGGTCCGCTCCATTCGCATTTAGCTACATATAAAAAAAAACAATACATATATAATACCATCGATCAATTAACAATGGGCGATATATTAACTTCCGGTTATACGGTTTTCTGTAATTACAAGCTAACCTGCTTGTCATTTGCAAAAGTGAAACGGAGTCGAATTCAGTTGAATATAGCAAACATTTGAAACTACATACATATACATGAATACATGCTCATAACTCTTTTGAATAACATTGCCAATCAACAAGAAAAGCATAAAATGAAAAGAGGAGACCATTTGATTGGATGATATTTTAGAGACTTAGAACCGAATTTCCTCAAATCATTGATAAGAAATTGGCAAAATAAACAATAAACTTAACATCTGGATCTGCACTGTAATGAAATTGAATTTCACACACTTACCTGGTAGTTTCCAGTATGTCAATGTACCTTCAACTAAAGTGCTTCTAGGCAAAGCTGATATTGGGAAGGCACTCCAAACAAGTGGACAAATGCGTAATCCAGTGAAAATGGCACTTTCTTTTGGTGCAGTAACAAACATATCCAGCATCTAAAATAAAAAATGAAGTGAAAGTAAAAGGAGTTTTACACTGTACGTGTTCGCTACTGTTTGGGCCAATGGAGGATACGCTTATTGTGGTCTGACTGGAACACTCTGAAATCTTGGTTCTGACATATCTGTGTTATGTATAACAGTATTATAAAACAGACTATGGCGTTTAAAACAGCTTCAGAGCAAAATATATCAGTAAATAAGTTATTTCTATTACTTTCAGATGATTGTGATGAGTCAGAGTCTTCAGACTATGATAACGCTTCATTTCGTTATTATAAATGTTCTAACTACATTTAACAACAGACAAATATATATTCTAATTTCGTGACCCGTGTATTTATGGGCATGCTATTCCCATGTCACCCTACACTACTTACTCTTTCATTGATAGCTCTGTATACCATCAATGTACTGAGTTTATTTGGTGTCACGGCGTCAGGTGGTGTTGGTATAGACACAAGATTTTTATAAAACGAACCAACCACAGCATTTCTTAACCAGTACACAACTCGCATTACTCTTGGTGAAAGACTTGTCTGAAACAGTAACCAATAATAAAATCTTTTCTGTTAAATACTGCTCAATACATCAATTGTAGAGCCTTATATTAAAATAGAACCCGAATCATGTTGTTACTGAGAGGTTCATGAGGCGCTTTGTAGTCTAGCATAACATATTTTGATTAATATCAATTTTGATCAATTATTTTCTGCGTCATAAAACAGATTGCACGGAAAACCTAAGAGAAAATAGGGAAATAGTATGGATTTATAGAGGAGGAGGGTAATGCAATTGATCAAGGATCCTGAAGGGGGTATGACAAAGAATAGAAGTTGAAAACCCCTGTTACAGGTGGTAAGAGCTTAACGGCTGGGGAATGCTTAAATGGAGAGATTTCTACGCGCATAGTAAGAAAGTTACTGTTCAGGGATTTCATATTGAAAACAAGACTGTAAATTTACCGGGTTTGGTGAGCTGGCAAGAATATGAATGTGTCTGTATACATTCAATTCAACGATCCATTTCTTCGTTGCAGAAATCATACGAGCAGGTCCGGTACCTTCCATCAAAGCTCTACGGAAGGTTGCTGCTTGAGCAAAGGGGTCAATCTGAGACATCTCATTCAAAATTTGTTCAACAGATTTCGAACCATAGATCTGAAAATAGCAAAAATGATAATAACGTCACTTGTTAAGTGTGGCATTTAGGATCACCTAGTTTTACAGATCTTAGAATACTGTCAAAATATGTTCTGTTTCTAAACCGAAACATTACGAAATAGTCATATATTGAACAGAAAATCGTCACGAAAGATTGTGTTGAATGCTCCGAACATTTATTTTTGGGATTCAATAAATTGAAGCCTGAGCCAAATTTCAGACTATGTGATCCCACTTTACAACAACCGAGACTCGCAATTGGGGATCCTTTCTACCAGCTGATCCTTGGCCTATCCTCTTGGCACTCATCCTTTCTTGATTATCCATTTACAGCTGGGTCGACTGGAATTATGTGAAGAGGACCTATTCAAAATTCAAAATAACCCCAAAAAACGAACCTTAATGTTTAGATATGGTGATGGTGAAGAGGATCCATATTCCACGTTGATGAAGCCAACTATTCCATTTGGTGTACCAGAAAGTGGCTGCACTCCATATCTCTCTTGAAGTAAGAGACTCGGAGGAACATTATGGCGTTTGGCCTCCTCCTTGTATTTCTGCCATACCGTCTCTGTTTCGGTCTGGAATTTGCGGATTGCTGTTGTCACGGTCGTTGGTATTTTGGTCTTGAAATGTGATGCCTCGTTTATGCTTTCGGTAAAAATAGCCTTCAATTTGGCACACAGCGTCTTGAAGATGTGAGTAGTCGTTGGTAAAGCTGATGTGTCGGACCAGAAGGTGCTAGAAGTAACAATTGTGTCCATCTGCGTCAAGACGTAACGAATCTTTTCAGTAATAAAGGTACAGGCTGTTTTGATTTCAGTTCTGGAATTCAAAGTTGGGATAGTTTTCACCTTGGTATCCACAGTTGTAAGAAGTGTCAATAACTTCGTCAGGTCCGTTGTTGGAGTGTTATCTGCATCTACATCTGCATTTAATACACCCGGTGGAACATTATGACGTTTTGCCTCTTCCTTGTATGTCTGCCATACCGTCTCTGTTTCAGTCTGGAATTTGTGGATTACAGTTGTCATTTTCGTTGGTATCTTGTTCTTAAACTGTGATGCCTCGTTCATACTTTCAGTAAAAATAGTCTTCAATTTGGCACACAGTTTCTTGAATATGCGAGTGGTTATTGGTAAGGTTGCTGTGTCGGTCCAGAACGTGTCAGAAGTTACAATAGTGTTCATCTCCGTCAAAGCGTAACGAATCTTCTCAGTAATATATGTACAGTCTCTTTTGATATCAGTTTCGGAAGTCAAAGATGGGATGATTTTGACCTTATATTCCACAGCTGTAAGAATGACCAATAACTTTGTTAGTTCGGTTGTTGGTCCACCAGCTGATAATTTTCCTCTGTGCTTTTCAACTTCAGCGTGGTATCGGGTGATGAGTTTTCTAATTTCTGCGAGGAAAGCTTCTATTTTCGTCTCCATTCCCTGAGGAGCAGATCTTTTGCTGGATTCTCTTTTGGCAGTTTCAACTGTCGTTTGGAGTTCTCTCAACAATTCAGAAAACATATTTTCTGCTTCTGATTTTGCGGATGGGTTGGTCCAGATTTCGCCTGATGTCAAGACAGTTCTTATTTCAGGAATAAGATTTTCAATTTTTCTAGTTAATTCTGTGCACGTCTTCTTGATGGTAGTTTTGGGTTCTGAGGGCATTTTGTTAATAGTTGATCTTAATTCATTGACTTTTTCTACCATTGCTCTGATCTTTGGAACTGGACTCATACCCTCTGGCATTCTTGGAATGTGGTGTTCGGCAGCACGTCTGTGGACTTCTTCAATCATTTTCTCAACTTCTTTCATAGACATTGCCAATTCTGATTCAATTCTTGGAGATTTTGGTGACATGCGTTTACATTTTTCTGCAGCATGTGATAATTCAACCTTCATCTTTTCAGCCATTTCACTGAACATTTCAGGAGAATGAGATGGTTTTTCAAATAAAGCACCAGAGTTCATGATGGCTCTCATTTCTCTGATGACATTGCTTGCAGTGGCATTTGCTTCCTCACACATTGGCCTCATCTTTGGTGGTGCCATTGATGACATTCTAGAGACGATACTGCTGACCTTTGACACTTCTTCCATCAGTTCGTGGATCTTCATATCTACCGATCTCATTGCAGTTCTGGAAAGGAAGACATGACTTTCTTCGGCATGAGAAGGAGCTGATGCGGCATACTTCTTAATGGCGGTTGAAAGATATGGAATGAGTGTGTTCATTTTCATATTAATGGCGTTCACCTCCTGGACGGCAGCTATTTCAGCTGGAATACTCATTAGGCCAACCTTGACTTTGCTGATCATCTGTTTACACTCTGTTGCTGCTGTCAAGAGGCTGACAACAACTGGAATTGACGGTGGCGTGGGTGAGGTAGTTAAACTTGTTGTTACTGTTTCCAACTCGTTGACAATTTTTCTGGCCAATTCCAAAGCCCTGGTTAATTTAGCTGTTGCTTTTTCTACTCCCGGTTCGGCTTCTATTGTGAGCACTTCAGCAATTGCTTCAATCATGTAGTTGTAAATCTCCTGAACTGCAGTCCACGCCTGTTTATCTTCACTCATAAGAGCTGGTACAATTCTATTGGAAGACAATTCGGTGTAAAATACGCTCAAGGCTTTGATACCTAGTAATCGAGTTTGTACATTTGCTATTTTTGCAAACTTGCCAAGTCTAAGGATTTCAGTTGGAGAAGAGGGAATTGGGTGGAACTTGTAAACATAAGCGTTCATGGTGAACATTTTAATGATTTGATGTTTAATAGCGGCTTGGGTCATCAGGTTTGCAGATATAGTTACATTGGCTTTCAGGTCTTGTGGTCGGACTTTTATTATGGATTTTAATGATTCACTGGCGGTGTTGATGATTGGCTCTGTGTTGGGTACCGATGTATTGTAAGATGATGCTAAAGTCTTCAGTATTCCAGCTTGCAGTTTAGTCAATTTGACTAATGGACCAATAGCAGGAGAGTTTGTCACCTCTGATGGAAATTGTGCATTGTGTTCCTCAATCATGGCAAAGTATGGAGAAATTGTAGCCTGGAAGGTTTTGATCATCGTTAGCGTTTTGGTCCATAATTCCTCGCCTTTGGTGAAAGCAACAATATTACTGACGTCCTTGGCCATGGCAGAGAGAGCAGTTACAATTTCCTTTTGTTTTAAGATGGCGAATTGAGCCACTGTATTTTCAACTGCATTGACATTTTTATTTCTGGTGATTCTTGCAGTTTGGTTGTTAACTGCTTCTAATAATGTAGCTTGTTTGTTGTACAAATCGATCGTTTTGGCCTCTCCAATAAAGTAGTTGAATGGATCTAGAGAGGTGACAAGGGTATCTTTTACAAAATTAGCACCAGTAATCAATTGTCTCAATATGGGTTCCCATGTTCTCAGTGTCGGACTCTTGGAGACAGCAGCAATATTTACTACTGCTCGCTCGATTGTTTCCAAGGGATCTTCTTCGACTGGGAAAGCACGGCGTGTAGCAGTTGTCAGAGCAGTTGTTTCCATTGACCGTAATAATGCATGATGACTCTTGTGTTGTAAGATAAATTTCATGCTGTTGTGTAGTTGAGTTAGATATGCAGGTTCGAACAAAGTTTCTGGTAGAACGAATGTTTTTGGATATTTTACTTCACTGTGGATGAGGACCTGGAAGGAGAAAGAGAGAAGAAGAGTCTTAATATTGGGAATTCAATACCATTTTGAAACCGGTTTACTTACAGTAGCTCGATTACCTTAGGGACTGGTTAAAGCAAGTCCATAACATACTTGCGTCAACACTCCATAGTAGGATATTAACATGTATTTACCATTGTATTTGGCCCCAGGTTGATTCTTCCATGTCGTTTGATAATTCATTTTAGGCTACCTTTCGAATTTCGAATGTGCTAGCGTAAAATTAATCTTGATATGAACTTATTTCAACTCCAAAGACCCGCCTAAAAATCATGAAATAAACTGGGGTTTTATGTCCTACACTCAATATCCATGATTGTGTTAAGAAACCGATTTAAAAACATTACCTCCTTAGGTTCAACATTCAGTTCAGGGACAGAAGCTCGGACGAATCGACCGGCGAATTGATGAGTAAATCCTCGTTCTCCTCGAACCCACATCAGTTCAGTATGAACCACCGGTGTTTCTCCTGCTTTAACAACAGCCACTAAGCCCCACTTTCTACCCATTGCAGATAAGGCATGGACGTCTCTGATTTTTGCCTTGAGTTTCGATCTCAGGGAGGCGATGGATATTTCAACTCTCTTCAGATTGGCGAAGTCAGCTAGTTTTACTGAAAAAAAGAAAATGATCCAGTATGTGGCAAATAGTAACAATCAATTAAAATTTTTAAGTTGTCACACCTTTAAAATTATTGACAAAACAAATCTAACTCACAATTTTAGACATTACTATTTGTAGAGGCTATCATTTGAGCCACACATACGAAATAAATACGTGAAATCAAAGAAATATCACGATAACATTTTCAGAAGTAGAGTTTCTAATGTTCAGAAGGGAGGTTGCTATAGAAAACGGGGGTTGCCCTATACACATACCTGAAGAAGATTCAATTTCTACGGAGCCCGAATCTTCCCCACTTTCAGATGGTTCACTGTCATCCCAAAGACACATGGTCAGTTTGGAGAAAATGCTGCTACAGCTGCTGGATTTGGCAACGGAACTTTCGTTTCTTGATGCAGATGTGAAGGCAATTTCTACGGTTACTGGTTTGGGTGTAGTTTCAGCAGGACTTGCGGTGAGATACAGATTAGTTAAACCGAATAGAGGACAGGCGTACCACGGCTTGTTGATGCCTCTGGTTGCTGTTTTACCAGCTAAGGTAAGCTTGAGTCCAGAAGATCCTCGGGTGACGTTATAAAAAACCTGGAATTCACACAACATTTGATTGCTCTTCAATATAGCTAGCTATCACAGATTCTCGCTCAACTTTAAAAAGGTGTTCAATGCCATCAAGATCCACAGCCTTAAAAACATTAAAGGGAAATTCTCAATTATACAAACAACACCGGGTATTGATTTCCAACACACGAAGACCGAATTTTAAAACTTACGGGTATTAGTTTAGAGTTGGCGGTTCTTTCGATGTATTTGACAGATCTGACAAACTTTCCGTGTTCTGGTGATACAGGAATAATGTCAATGTATGTCAGTGGTGTCATTTCAAGAGTGTACAGAGGTTCAGTCTACAAAAGAAGAAAACGAGACTCAAAAAGGTTACCCAGAATCAGTGGAAACCGGAAAAAAAACCCTAATAACGATCTGAGCAAGAAATTTAAAAAAAAAAAGAGTTGGTTACCAAAGACGTTTCCCTGCAATTGTACAACATTAGCTTAATGTACATTTATATAACTGGTATACAAAGCTTGCGAATCCCAAAAAAGGCTAGGTTTTCTGTTTGTGGTGTTGTTAATGCTAGATGCTGCATTACCAAACAGGGAAATGGTAATTGCCTGAATGCATATAATGCTGTAAGATCTGTGTTCTGGATAATAACTCCATCCTAAGGGCAAATATTTTGGAAATAGAATATGAATTTTCGACGCAAATCAAATTAATAAAGATCATCTCATGGTTTCTATATATAATACATGTACTATAATAATAAAAGGGTTGGTGGTTGGTTAAAAACAATATTCCAACTTACAGAGACTGGTGGGGTAATTTCAGAGAGGATCTTATTCTTTTCCAGATCAACTGTAACGGATGCTTGTACTGGAAGGTTTGATCTAGTGGCGGATCTGACAGCAACTCCGGATTCTAACACAAAACCACCAATATGCATTTTGATCAACATCTCCATAGCATTGCTGAAGGTAAATGATCATTTCATGTATAACTCACAAGTATATCATACATTAGCCTTAAATGGACATGGTCCTGTCAACATCCCCTTAAAATGCTTGTATGCTAGCGAATACAGCCAATGAGAGGCTTCGAGCATAATGTTTACAGTTTTCTGTTGAGGGCTCTGATTGACTATAGCTATTGCAGTCAAGGTATAAGACGGGGATTATGATGGCTTGACATTGTGAAGATGACTTACGTTATGTTAACGTCAACCTTAGCTTCAGCAGTGATTGGTGGGCTTCCTTTACGTGCAGATTCCATCATAGCCGGTTTAACACTGACGGCAACAGTACCAGTAGCAACCATGATATGTGTAGCAGTAAAACCAAGGTGAATGGGCAGACCACATTCAGTTGGGATAATCTTCCTAATGTCAGTCAAAACCCATGATCTTCTTACATCCACTGGTTTACCAGCTTGTAATTCTGATGGAGAAATTCTGCTCGATATTTTTCCTGGAAATTCATTGAAGGTTGTCAAATAGTAATAACGTCGTACAATTCCTAGATTTTCGCTCCTCAGCTATGAAATTTGTCATTCTGATGCAATTCGAATAATCGGTCCGGTATTTGAATACTGGCAATGGAACAAAGATTACATAAAGAAGTTTACAGCTGAACGGAGTCCTGTATGTGCGTTTATCATGACTTTAAATGTCGTTCGTGAAAGAGATTGGTATCTATCTGGTAGCTATACCAAAGCAATGTGTATAATGACAAAATAGCTGGTATCTTACCAGTAGAGATGATTTCTCTAAGAGTAGAGGATAATGGATAGTACATCACTTCATCGCCATTAAATTTATAGTACACATGTCCTGATGGGGCTGGTTCTTTTCTTTCTTTAATACCAAGCTGCAACATTATCGATAACAAAATTTCAGAGTTTGCGATTTACCACCACAAATGAAGTATATAGAAGACTGTCATTAGAATTAAAGATCTCATATGGTATAAACTGTACCCACCTTTCTGAAGATCTCTTCTATCTTAGCATCACTAGTAACACTTCTAGCAGCTCGTGATAATACATCGAATAAGGACTTCCTGGATGATAAGAGACCTTTTGGTCCGAACCATTTATCCAAGATAGTCTGAAGACCTTCTGTGTTGTAACCAACCTTAAATAAAGAGAAAAGAGAAATAATAGAAAACGGAGAGTGTGAATGAATTAAACCATCTGTATTTGTATCTGAAGAGGATCTTGGAGGATGCATTTAATGGCATTATTCGGCACTAATAAGTTAGTTAATATAAAATGAGTGTGGTCTTCAAATGGTAATTACTTTTTTTTATAGTCTTTAAAACGTGTAACCTCTCGGGACTCGACAGAGTAACCTCAATCGATTTATTTTCGAATTAAAAAGAAAAAGTTTCTTTCCATTATGTAGTTAGATGTTATATTACCTCGAATAACTGTGCATGTCTGTGGAAAAAGTTACCACTAACTCGAACAGCGGCGGCTTGTGGTACGATCGAAGTGTTGGTACCGAAATAACTCAGAGCCACACTTGCTCCATATAAAGACTTTCCACCTTTCACTGTAATAAACACATAATATTAAATTCAATCATTTCGTAAAAATGCTGCAATGATCTGTATCATACACACTGCAATTGTGAGAAAAAAGTGACAGTGGCTTCACTACCACAGGGACTGGCTGAACCAAGTCACCAGGAAATCAATGCAGGAGAGCATATGTTACAGAAATTCACGAGGGAGGGGTCCCAACCCACTTATTCCAGTGGCCCTCTAGTTGAGTCCCTGCAAAGTTAGCGACCTTGCTGAAAAGAATGCATCTTACCGTATTGTTTGTCATAAATAAAAAATTTGGAATATTGCATGCCAGGTATGGGTGTAACGGTCGCAGTAATTGCAGCATTTACGTCAGCAGACCTGAAACAAAGATAGTGTGGTATTTTAAAGAATTATCTGGTGAAGCATGTAGCTTATTAACCGTTACAAAGTTTTAAGCTGACAGATTGAAAATAATCCTTGACCCAGAGTAAGGTGGATACAGGTTAGACCAAACTTTCGTTCTCTTTATTATTAGTTTTTATTTTCTTTTTAGCCATTTCAGTTAGGGTCTCAAGGCGGCCATATTCATATTCATTTCAATCCAAGAATGGACAGATACGTGACCCATGGCAGTGCTAATACTTACATTCTCAACATGCATGGGTTGGTCGTGTTCGCTAAAGTACGCAGAACTGATCCAACGTAAGACGAGTACTGCATGTCCGGTTCGAATCTTAAATGTTGAGCAATGGTCTGCCAGATGGGTAATGAGGGTTTGCTTAACACTAGAGCATCGAAAGCGGCCAAACGAACCATTGTTGGTTCAGCATAGCTAGTTATCACAGGCATCAATACATGGACAGTCTGAAATTGAGACAGGTATGTTCAAAAGAAAACAAATGGCTTTCTTGGTAATTAAATAACTGCGGACAGTTAGCTTTATTGGCCAAGCTGTTACATACAAAACAATGACGTTAAAACGAGGGGTGGGGGGATCTTGGGGTTAGAGCATGACCTCACCTGAGAATTGCCCAAAATCCTCTCATGCACTCTCAAATTTCTTGTTTTTGTATATGCTCTGTGATGTGAGGGTGCCTTAGGATTTTTTCAACCGCCAGTAATGCAGGTGTGCTAAAAGTACATCCCTTTTGTGTGTTTAACAATGTTTGGACTACCATAAGACTCAGGAACTTTGCTGCTTACCCTTTCTGGTAACCGGGGAGCAATTCTTCTCAGAGCGAAAGCTGCCTGTGCTCTAACAATTGGCGACATGGTAGGAGATGCCAGGATGAACTCTACATCGGTGATCATTGGAATCAAACCACCATTACCAATTGCTTTCAGAGCTAAGATCTTTTCTTCTGTTTCAGCCTTGGCGAGGAGTGTTCTTAAAGTCTGCAATGAGAAGAAAACTTGAGTTGAGGTACAATTTCATGTTGCATTAGACTTTTCAAAAGCTGAGAATCGAAAGACTTTTACGTCCTACTTTTCTACTCCCGCTTATAAGAAAACGCAACAACGTGAAGTGCACCAAGAGAGCAAATTTGAAACTAAAAAGACAAAAAGAAGAACATGTCTTGCAACTTTCTGTCACCAGTAAGCAGACAGAAGACGTTAGAATATAGCACCTACCGAAACAACTTCCTGTATCAGAGCATTAGTAAGGGTACCGGTCTGTGATAATCTTTCTTCTAGTGACTGTTTCAGGGTGTTGAGCTCAGCCTGAGCAACTTTAGAATCTTCCGTCTCAAGCATTACCCTGGTAAAGTTCATCTCTCTTGCTAACATTTCTCTGTATCGGATGGCCATTTTCTGGAGCTTCCATGTCAAAGTACCAATGGCTAATACTGCAGCTCTTCTCGTCTTGGCTTTTACTTTGTTAGTCGACACCATTTCCTAAACAATGGACGTAAACTGTTGAGCAATCGATGCTATAAACCACATAGAGTTTATTTTATATTGAAAATTAATAGCGCAATCTGGATAAAAATATGAAATATTCAAAATACATTGACTAAACTCGACCGACTGTACAGTGTTTTGGTGTAAAATTAATGAGGTTTCTTACCATCAGCATCTTCATCACATCAACGTTGGGTTCCACAGCCAGAGCAAGAGATCCAAGTACATATGGTTGTCTCCTTGGTGGGAAAGTTTCCAGATCTCTAACGATAAGTCTGGCTACTGGAGAAGTTCCAACCACGGGTAAGATCTGAATCAGGATTGTTCTGAAACAGTAAGAATTATAAATGAAAGCATTATACCGATATGCGTAATTTTCGAGTCTGTAAGCTTCGTCGGACTTTAAATAATATGAATGGAAGGTTGCTAACTTGTCAATTGATGAGTCTTATGTTTACAAAAGATGATACGAGAAAACCAATCAAAATTCCAAAAATACCAAACATTCCCAAAGAGGTATCTACACGCAGTAGCAGAACCTCAAGAACATACCAAAGTTTTTAAAACAGGACATACCAATGAATAAACAATTCCAAAAATATGACATTGTTACCTGATATTTTTAGCAATAGTTTCAGCTGGTTTAGTCGGTGTTATGTATTGTTTCATAATCTCCTCAATAACATATGGTTCGGTGTTCCTGAGAATATCTACAGCGACTCCAACATATCGTGTAGCTTCCATACCCACATTATCATCCATATAGGTAGCAGCCAATTTCAAAATTTCCATGACCTGTATTCAATCAACGATAAATTACGAAACAAGAATTGGGGATTTGGGTCGGTTAAAGGTTTTTTTTTCTATTTCTGCACGAAACTGTTGGACTTGTTTGATATGATGATTCGCGCCGTGGGTTGTTTCCACGTAAATTCTTACCACATTTAAGGCATGATAAATTAACCTAAAAATTTACTTCTTAGAATTGAAAATGATTCAGAACATACCTTCTCCTTAGTAAAAGACAGGTGCCCAGCTCGGCTAGCGATATTTTCAGTTTCATTACTGAACGGATTAAGTGGGTCGAAAGCCATCTCTGGAACGAATGTGGTTAGTTTTCGCTTTACTGGAGATGCAACTGCAGGAATTGGTGTTGATGATTTGATGTCTGTAGCATCGATGAGGGTCAGGGTTTGACTAAATTAGATTATGAACAGTCAATTAAATTCAATAGCCAATGTCACTCACGCGTCAACTTTTTGTTTGTTTGTTTTTTTGTTTGTGTATTTAAAGGGGCAGTTGTGCCATTTCCAGGGGTTGTATTGAAACTGTTTAAATAGCCTTCGGAAGTACTAGGAATGTACTAAAATCGGATAATTCCCTCAAAATACCTGAAACTAGGAATCTAACGATCTATTTCTATATATGTCTTTTCTATATATCAAAGAGTATCTTAAAATTGCGAGTCTTCATGTGAACACACATGGATTTGAAGACTCAAATTTCGACAGTGAGCTGTGAACACTATTACTGATTGGCTTCGCTAAAAACAAATCCCATTTCTGAGACTTAAGTATGATTGGTAAATGGCACAACTGGAAGAGAAACCGTTTTACCCACTACCTCTTCCAAAAAAGGTATCAGAGTTGTGTGTAACAAGATAACCCTTGACGAGAAGTAACATTGCAAGAGAACCATTTTTTGTAAAAAATCAGGAGACGGAGAGTCAAGCGGATAGCTTTTTCTTATTTTATACCCATCCAGAAGAACATATTAAACAAACCCAACTGCAAATGGAATTTTTCCCAAGTTAAAGACACTCACTTTACAGACGTTTCGATTCTTCCGTTAGTTCTATCATGGATTGGTATGGTGTATGTACTTTCAGCTATTGCACTGGAGATCAAGAACTTGGTTTTATCACCATAGATAGAATATCTCACATGGCTGACACCAGTGTATATTTGCTGCAAGAAAAATAATCAAAGTCATTATAAGCACTATTGAAATTCATAACCACAATGTCAATGTATCAGAATACGAGTATTGCATTGCATTGCACAAAAAATCGATTATCGATGTGAATTCCAGAAGCTGGGCCGTCAGACTCTGATCTATCGGGATTCTTCAGTTGCTTTGTGTACAATTCGATCTGAATTTTTGTTTCTATGAAATGTTGATAATTATAAGGAATACTTTTACTTACACTGGTAGGATGTTCTTCTCGTCCGTGTGGTGAACACATTTCAGTAGCAACATTGGACTTTCTGTAGAAATAGTTCCTCATTACATTGGTATAGTTTCTGGCTTTGACAACTTGGTAAGCAGTGGGAATAGAGCTGAATGGTACCACAGTATAGGCTGTCTCGATTAATCCCATTGGAGAAGGCTAGAATTGAAACGAAGAAAACAATTAAATGCTCGGCGTACTTTAGTGAGGAAGGCAGTCAAATCTGGCATTTGTCTCTCATTAAGATTGACGAAACGATCAATCCTTTCGCATTGGTGAGATAGCTGACTTGCCAACCAAACCACAATCGAAAAGGCTGACGAACACGTCAAATTGCATTGAATGGTGGATGAGCCAAACCATTCCCATAGGGATGCCCTCGATCATTGGATAGGGTTGATGGCCAGCTTTCATCTCAATGGAGATTGGCGAACTCAGCTCCTCCCATAGGAGTAGGTTTAAGTCATTCCACTACACAAATTCTTTAAAAGGAAAACTTTTGTTGAATGTAACATCTCAAAATACTTTTCTTTGAGTCCAAGAACCAGGCGACAAAATTAAAAAAATGTCTCGAGAATTGTCTCACCCTGTGATCAAATATTTGGTGCAAATCTTTTTCTACTTACATCCATGCATTTATAAGTAGCGGCCCTGGTTGAGAAATCAGCTTTAGTCGTGTTCCTTTCTAATGAAAACCGTTGTTCTAGATTCACCTCAAACAGCGAAACCAAACCTCTCTTTAGATTAACTGAGAAATGGAGATCTTCTGCTTCTGTTCTTAGGTTAGCAACATGACCAGCTACGTAGCTGAAATAGGAAATGTGGAGTTTTACGTCTTGTTCTTCACCTAATTGATAAATGGAGTAGCATCTGTATTTTTGTGACGCTACATACATCTTATACCTCCATCCATGACATTACTTTTTCTCAAGCTTTTTTTTTTGTAGTTCTGGAAGTTGCTACGACTTCATTAGCCCACATGATGCAGAAGAGTCAGTAGGGCGTGAAACTCCATTCACTTCATTTCTGAAAGTTGCTAACTGTTCATTGATGATGAAAAATCTGAGTATATGTCACAGATATCGGGTGCCAAGCTGGCTAGTTTACGAAAAAATACTTACTCAAATTCAAACGGCTTCATCAACTCAGTAGTGAGGTTTGCGGCGATTGGGCCGGTGATAGGAATCATGATCCTTTCAGGCAGTATCTGGTTTGTGGGAACTGCGGATTCTATCTCCTCGTTGTATCTGAACAGTGCCACATTTTCCAACTAGAAAACATTTAGAGACATAATACACATTTATAATATATATACATGAATACCTGTGTGCCGCCGTTCTGTGCTAACGAAGTGTAAGGTTTAACGGAGCAGTATTTATAGTTTCTATACTTTTTTGTTTCTGACAGAGTAAATAATGATCTTTTTAGATTTTCTAACAGTCAAGCTATTTAACAATACTATGGCCAGTGACAATCTAATGAACGCCTTTCTGATCATCATCACGGACAGTAAACAGAATCTGCTTGTAATTGCGAAAGGTACCATCTGAACCTACACCGGAGCTGCAGGATAGCAAACACTGGCAAACTCAACATTATGCTTTAAAATCGCTCTTAACTGAACAAACATTTTAAAACGTGTTCTAGCATGGCTGTTTCCTCCAACAGAATTGGGCGTAAATTTAATATCTAACTATTTAAACAGAAGAATGAATCAGATTCATTTTACGTTCGCTTGTATTCCTTTGGAGACTTTTGACATTGACTTTGCGATTTGGAGTGATATATATTACAGTTAGCTTGCGGCGTGGAAAGATTACTTGCTGTATGATTACAGTAATCATAATTTATAAGACTTACCGCTGCTTTAACCCGTGAAGCCGTAACGAACTGAGCCCGAACTATTGCCTTCACCTGTATACTAGAGTATACAGCGGACAATCCGGGAAGACCGGAAACAACCTGGGTATAATATAGGTATACATATTCTCTTTCTGGTCGATATGCTGAAAATAGTAATATATATTTTAGATTTGAGTCTTTAAGGGGATTTGTGTATCGGAGAGGCATCAATCTGCACCATTCGAGTATTCAGCCTGACGTCTGTGAGTTTTACAATTCAACTTAATAATATAAGAAGCCTTTGAGACAATAACATCATTTCCGGTTAATCATCTATGTGATAGTTGGAACTAAAACAAAGTTATAAATGTTCCTGATACAGATATAAAAGCTATGTCGGTCATTAATTCCTCTTGTTTAACCATTGCTTTTACAGTTACTCTTACCATATACAAGGATATCTATTGGCTACAAAGTTATCGATATATCTCTTACCCTTTTCCTCGATTTTGGCACCTGTAAAAGAAACGAAAAGTAGTATAAACCGATATAGATTACTAGCTTTTCAACATAAAAAAACCTTATGGAACAAGAAACATTAAGACGTTCAATTTAAATTACTGATTGCCTTGTTTCATTATGAAAATAACAGATTGCAAATGTCACTTTTGAGATTGCTATTTTCGGGGAACGAGCCTCGTTTCACAAAAATCTTAGCAGTTTTCGGTGAAAATTCTAACATGAAAATTTGGAAATCTTTGGATATCGAGACTTTTTGCACCTGTTACAGCTTCATTCTTTGGCAGATATTGTACAAAGAAAGGCCAAAGAGCATTGTAAAAGGGGTGAAGTGGAAGCACGTCGCAATCCAAAAATCAAACCATTCAGAGCAGTTACTGAACATTTCATTTGGATAATTTGTTTCAGTTAAACCAAAATCTATTAGGTATGTGTTACCCATTTGCCCAAAGGCCGTATCACCCAAGACATATTTTTCTCTACTGCAAAAAAGTCTGTTATACAACGCAGCAGTGATATCTAACGAATATCTGTACTATCGAGATCTGAAAGAAATGCAAGAATGATATGAAAATACAAACTTACCGGCAAGGCCGATGACCAAACAAAGGAGTAGTAAACGCATACTGCAAGGCTCTACAAACTGACGAATCTAAGATCCTAACTTGCTTTTATATCATTTGACAGAGCATCATGGTACCCCATGATGTTTTCTTCAGCTGATTGTGAGCTGTCAGCATTGAACTTGGTCACTTAATTTTGAAGGACAGGTTATGAGTTTGGTTTAGGTAACGAGCACCAAATTTCATAATAATACAACAGTGTTCAAGTTTGATGTGATACAGTTTTTGAGTAAATTTAAAGAGAATTGCTTTTATATTATCCTCTTCCCTGGGGTTGATTGGGTTTGCAGTGTCATGCTATATGGAAAATATTGACAGAATTGGGTAATCAGACAAACTCTGCCGAATTTTAACTGTCGATGGTGAGATCTTTAAGCCATATTTCAGAATGATGTTCAATTTGGTCCCATTTGCGCATTCACCCCTCCCAAAATTACATTCGACACTGTGGCTGTTACTCAATGATCAATAACAAATCAACAAATATCGAGTCGTATAATTTGGTTGGGGAGGGGCGCATGTTCATGCCACCGAGAACTGAGGCTAGCCAGGCCTAGCCCCCCCCCCCCCCTTTCCACCTCTCCACTTTCAAATTTATTACCATTTTACATAGGAAAATTATTATGAAATTCTGTGGCCCTCTCATCTGATTCATAACGCCACTTTGAAACTTGTGAGCTGTGGTAATGTTCTAGGACTGCACTGAATATTAATATGGTTAATTATAAAACAGACATTGGTGTCATAACAATATTTTATAACAAGTTCAGTATGTGCATTGTCAATCAGAACAAGGTTAACTCGCTAATTTTATGTTTATCTCTGAGGTGGCCGTATTAAGACAACGCCCAGTAAATTTGATCTTATGTAGGATTTTACCATTAAACTAACCACTTTCTTTAAGCATATTTTTAGACGAAAATTCATACATCAATATCAAATACTGGTGGAATATACTAGTGGTGAGTATCGTCAATCATGTCACGATACGATACGTATCGCGATACAACGGTCACGGTACGATACGTATCGCGGTATGGGGTAATGGGATAAAAATTAACAGAAAATCCGCACTTTTTATGGAATAAAAAGTATCGCCAAGTATCGATACATGACGTCGAGATACGATACGCGTATCGTGGAATGTCGTATCGCGATACATCGATTCACCGGCATATCGTGCCAGCACTAGAATATACTGTTACTGTTGTGGTTTACTCCATTCTTGACTTACAAAATATGTGTATACTGTAGGCCTACATTACTTTTTGAATGCATTAATACCTTTCTTAACAACACCACCTATTTGCACTATTGCATTATTCATGCGTAAAAGTGTTTTAAATCCACGTGGCGTTGTAAAACGCCGACAAGTAAAATCTCTTTTTTTTAATAGAAGACAATTTCATTTTCAACTCAAAGTTACGAATTTTCTTCAAAATGGGAGTAGTTCTTAAAACCTGGAATATCAGAAAACTGTCCATTTTGGCCGTTACTGTGTTCCTGCTTTTTATAGCTTTCTTCTTAATTGGTGGACTTGTAGGTTTGTATGGAATTGTCATATTTCTTTCTCCGACTCGCAATTTTATTTTCTTTGGATGAGTTTTATCGACAAAATAGCTCTGTGGACGCTGCCATAGTCTTCGTATGTCTTTTTACTGCATGTTAAAGATGGGTTCCCTTACTTTCATTTATGAATACTTATAATACTTATGTGAATAGAAAGTAGAAGTGTTCTCATGACTTGAAAAAATACCAGTTTATCTCACATCTCCATAATTAATTCATAATCAGCTAAATTAGAAGAGAATTACCAGCAGAATTCCAATGAGTGACCGATCAAAAAAGGTCAAAAAGTCTTTTTTTTTTGTTTATCCAGACTGTACTTACATGGACATTAATGATTAGTTAAAATTATATGCAATAAAAACATAATAATATGATTAAGAATACATGATAATTCATTAGAAACGCCAATTAATAAATTGGTTTACTTAATTTGACAAATAAGTATAAACGCATCTTTAAAGATCGAGAAAATAATATGTATCTTAAATTTGAATTGCACAAATCTGTCATACGCTTCGCTGCTCTCGCAATGGGAAAGCAATGAGGTAGACAATTGAAGTATTCAATAAAATTAGCAAAGGTAAGGTGTAAAATAAAATAGCAGTTATATTGGTGAATAACTAGGTCAGCTAGTATTTAACCTAAACACAGCAACACATTAGCAATATGATTAATCTTTATACAAAATATAATATTACAAACAACAAAATATTTTCACTGTTAAAATAGTGATCAATATATAGAATAATTCTAATATTACTGTGTATATATAACTCCATGGACGGGGGCCACAAAGCTCAAATACTTTAATAGAATAGGTGACAAGTCTCTTAAAGTTAAAAACAACCCCGTATTAAAAAAAGCCAGATGTCAGCACTAGCCAGATCTTGATAAACCTGACAAAGTCTGTCTGATGATAGTAATGGCTCGGTTAATCAGGTTGTGCCCAATCCATCCTATCTTCTGCGCCGGATCTCTTCGGTAGGCAGTTGATGGGTACACTGCCAAATGTCTGAGTTGCTCAAGGAAGGATATATTATTTTAGTGATTCATTTTTATTCCAACCATTCATTTTAAGCTTTCATAATCGGACAAAAAGCTTATTCATCTCAGCTTATTCATATCCAAAAATAATTGAATTGAAAGCTAACTTTGCAGTGAGAACTTTTGACATAGTACAGATTCTGTTAATTTATTATTTTCTTTCAGCACCTGCTCCTTCGAGTGTAATGAACATGTTAATGACTAAATGTTATGATAAACATGTTTATGCACATGAAAAGAAATGGTATATTCCACGTGGCTTGCATGCCTGTGATCAGATAGATGATTTAAGCAATCCAATGGTTATTGATAAACGTATTGATGCCAATATGGTGGTGTTTGCTTTGTGGATGCCATACCCTAGAGAGGGTAGACAATTTAGTATGTCGCGATGGTTTCAGAATATGCTGACTGTTCTACGGATGGATATTGAACACCATAGTAATAATCCTCTCAGTAAGTTTGCAGTTATCCATAGTAGTTTAGTAGTTTACGAAATGAAAATCTGACATTTTGATTTACATATAAAAAACAAGATAAATGTATTGTTATAGCTTATGTGCATCCATCTTCACAAAGTCAAACTATTACGAGCTTCGTACCTGACTGAAATAGTCACCATTCTTGTATCATGGAAATTTGTAAATGAAGAGATTGGATTAGCAAATACACCCAATTAGAGACAACGACAGAAAGCCATAATGTTTACAACAGCCTTTCTTTCGAGGACTCTGATTGGCTGTTTTCACTGGTATACAATACAATCAAATCGCTGCATCCAGTGGTATAAGAATAGCGGCAAATGCAGTAAATGAAGTTACTAATAGCTTGACATTGTGAAAATGATGTGAATTAAGTGAGTACAGTGCAATCAAATTGTTGTATTTACAAACTATCGTGATACAATAACATCAGTGCCTAATGATAATCAAGGTATTAGGTCAAGGTATTAGACGGGGTTCGTAAAACCTTGACCTATTTAAGATGTTTTAATATGTCTATTTATAGAAGCCAATGCTACAATGAGAATGGAGGTGAGACTGGGTTATAGAAATCAACAGGATAATGAATCAGATTGGAAGGAATTGATCTCGACACAAGAAGATAGACCATTACGCTGTGACACAGATGGGGTAAGAAAAGAGGTCTCACTCTCAACTAAAGCAGTAAAGTTGTGAGAGAAAATATGAGAGAAATCGCAATCGTTTTATTGGCAATTTCTGAATGTCTGAATCTGTTGTTAAGGAACCGACTTAAGTTTGCCGACTTGGCATGACTTTTGGGAAATATTGAATCAAAATCATTCATCGATTCATAAAGATACAGTACACGTATTGATTAAGATATCCAACTATTCGTACCAGACTGTTTTATCGTTATTTATTTCAGATAGAGGAAGATGATTACTATAGATGTGAATTGTTGTCATTTTTTGAATTAGGAAGTGTTCATTATGATTATTACCTAATCAATATACACCTACCTGTTTATCAACCTAAAGATGTTAATTTAGGTCTGGGAACGATTCAAGATATTCATATTATTGTAAGTACATTATGCTGTGAGTCCCCTGTCCCTACTCAGCACCTTAATAGAATTGGGATTGATCCACACAACTGTAGGTATCATTGACTGAATTAGATGAGCTGGGGCCTGTGGACTTTATTGGGTTGGGGTCCCTCCCCAGAGAATTGTTTTTTTTAACATATACTCTCCTGCAATGTTTCTTGGGGTGGAGGTCCCGTAGAGGTGGGACTCGAGGACTTGGTTCAACAAGTCCCTGAGGTAGTTGAGCCACTGGTAGGTATATTCTTATTTGCATAATTAAAGATGTCTGACAACGTCTAACTAATGGGACGTCTAATTAATGGGACGTCTAACTAGTTAATGGGACGTATAACTAATGTGACTAATGTGACGTTTAACTAATTAATGTGACGTCTAACTAATCGGACGTCTAATTAATGCTACGTTTAACTAATGGGACGTCTAACTAGTTAATGGGACGTATAACTAATGTGACGTCTTACTAATGTGACGTCTAACTAATGGAACGTGTAACTAATAAGACGTCTAACTGATGTGACGTCTTATTAATGTGACGTTTAACTAATTAAGGTGACGTCTAACTAATCGGACGTATAATTAATGCTACGTTTAACTAATGAGACGTCTAACTAATGAGACATAACCCCTTACATTTGACATGCAAATTAAATGAAACTATTTTTATAAATATTTACTTTACCCCCCGATAAGACTATTACTTGTCCTTGACAAACTGAGAAGAGGACAAAAAGTGAACTTCAATAATCCTTGTCCTTCAATTATGAATTTTAAATGTAATTTTCAGACAATATTTCAAAATGGAGGATTTACTAAAGTTTGGTTTTCACTGAAGACTGCTATGTTTCCTGTTATTATTGTTGTTCTCGTGTGGTTCTGGAGAAGAGTCAAGCTACTCAGTAGACAACCAAACTTATTGGAGAGGTAAGTCAATGAGTCTGGAGACAGAATGAGCCCTCTACTCGTCAAATATGGCGTGTAGTATTTAACCGATCATAATGAAACTTGTTATTTGGGTATAATTTGATGAAAGGTTTTTAAGTTATGCTTTTGACTAATATCAAATGCCTCTAATTAGCCTAGCCAGTATTGGTATGATTTGATTCATTTTAAGATGTATTTCACTGTTAATTTTTGAATCCACAAAGTTTAGAAGCATGCCACCTTCTTTACAGCCAGGCTGTCCCTTTATATCTATTTGATAAACATGGTGAAATATTTACTTAAACATGAAACTTACTTAAAGGAAAGTGCAAGACAAACCAACTCCAAATTTCATATGATTATAAAGGTTTTTACTTTCAGGACCTTGTTAACTCTAGGTATTGTGTTGTCTATCATGAATTGTAAGTAATATATAACACTTAATTCTATCAGTTTGAACCAAGCCCTTAGTCCTACCTCTAAGGAAAGCATAATGTTAAAAAAAGATATTCCCGCGGAAGGGACCTTAACCCACTAATCTCATTCATTGAGAACAATGGGTTTGTTTTCTAAATTAGCATTTCATATCACATGAGGGTTGAAACATGTTTTTTTTTTAATTTTTGTTTCTTTAATTTACAAAATAGATAATTTGTGTAATATATTTCCAGTTCCTGTAGAATGGTTGACCCTCTGGTTTAATCTACCTTGGATGAGTATACTATCAGATATAAGACAAGGTGCTTTCTATGCCACTCTTCTCTCATTCTGGATGATATTTGCTGGTGAACACATGGTAGGTTCTCTTGACTATTTTTTTTACTCTGCTTTTCTATATTAGTTAACCTGGCGACACTGTGGTTAATCTAAATGTAGCTATGTAGGGCATGCCCCACCTCATCCAGAACTGGCCTGGCCCAATAGGGATGCTAGAGAATGACTTAGGAGCCCTATTAGACAATTCTGTGCCCCTAACTCATAGTTATTTTTTTTTTCAGGATTCAACACAAAAGAATAACCCGAAAAGTTATTGGAAATCTGTAACATCAGTTGTATTTGGTTGTCTCTGTATTCTTATTTTTGAACTGAGTGAAAAGTGAGTTAACCCTATTCATATTCTTGTACCGTCTACTCATTTGTCTAGCTTTCTATAATAACCATTATTTGAACAGAAATTGTCTGAGATCATGAATTGGGAAACTCTTTGAAACATTTAGATATGTGTTTTTATTAGATCGCCATCATTAAATGTTCTGAATGGGCTCTTTTGTATACTTTCAGGGGTATGCAGTTGAAAAATCCATTCCACACTATTTGGGTGACAGAAACTGGAACTCGTGTTGCTGTATCCTTTTTCTTGAATATTCCATCGAGAGGGAGATGGTTAAAATGCCAAATTCCTGTACATATAACAGATTTATCTTGACACGTCTTCTAATCTGAGAAATATTTTCATTTAAGGAAAGAATGAAAGTCTTATTATTGTGTCATAAATATTTCAGAATTTATAATTTATTGGGTTATAAGTTTAGCAGGATCGTTTGATATATTACAGAACAATCATTAGATCTGTAAATATAACTTCTTAACCAACATTTAGCTGGCCTTTATAATCATATCTATAATAGCTGCCTGTATCTACTTCCTGTTTCTATCCTATATGATATACAAAGTCTTCAAAAACACCCGTGCTCAATCTCCGACAAGGAAAAACTGCCTCTTGGTAAGTTTGTGTGAGAGGTCCATATCTGTGTGTATCAGATCAACCAAAATCAGTTAATACAGACTTCGATGTTGAAGATACTAAGGTCATGTGAACAACAGTATTCCTGCCTTGTCTATGACTAACATTACAGAACTCCAAAGTACAGGCAATTTTTTCACTGTGGAAAAAGATAAAAATTGAAATTGGGGGACAACGATGGGAAGCCCTTTTTTCTGGTTCTTCCGTAGAAACGTCACTGATGCTAATTCCACTGTACTGGCAAAGGAAAAACAAGAAGAAGTTTGTTGATTCTCGTATTTTTTTTTTCATTTTCAAGTTTTTGATGGTGTTAACTCTACTGTGTACTGCATTGACTGTTATATTCTTCATTATCAGTCAAATCAGTGAGGGTCAGTGGAAGTGGGGAGATGATGGAATCAGTTTACAATATACAAGTTCTCTCCTGACAGGTATGAATTTATCTTGGATCTTAATTTCTTCATAAAACAGGGACAAGAGCTGGAGTAACTAAAAGAGTTCAATTCAAAATTGAGTAGCGTTGGTCGTGTCAATTTTAATTTGCATTTCATAACAAATCATTCGCTAATGAAGTGTCCAATTATAGGGTCCAGATTGATATGTAGCTATATGATAAGTGTCATCTCAATCCCTAGAACCATACTGAACTCAACAAATCGTTCGCTATTTAAAATGTCGTATTTCGGCCCCAATCGATATGTAACTATGTTCCAAGAGCCATCTCAATGATGCTAAAACCTTATTGATCTATATCTTCTATTAAATTCACTACCTCAAACAAATCATCTTCACCACTTGCTAGTTTTTAAAATGAGGCAAAAGGCAGAGCTACTTAAAGTGCTATAGGTGTATATGGTATGTTTTATATCTATAGGTGTTTATGGTATGTTTTATATCTATAGGTGTTTATGGTATGTTTTATATCTATAGGTGTTTATGATATATTTTATATCTACAGGTGTTTATGATATGTTTTATATCTATAGGTGTTTATGGTATGTTTTATATCTATAGGTGTTTATGGTATGTTTTATATCTATAGGTGTTTATGATATATTTTATATCTATAGGTGTTTATCATATGTTTTATATCTATAGGTGTTTATGATATATTTTATATCTACAGGTGTTTATGGTATGTTTTATATCTATAGGTGTTTATGATATATTTTATATCTATAGGTGTTTATGATATGTTTTATATCTATAGGTGTTTATGATATATTTTATATCTATAGGTGTTTATGGTATGTTTTATATCTATAGGTGTATATGGTATGTTTTATATCTACAGGTGTTTATGGTATATTTTATATCTATAGGTATTTATGGTATGTTTTATATCTATAGGTGTTTATGATATATTTTATATCTACAGGTGTTTATGGTATATTTTATATCCATAGGTGTTTATGGTATGTTTTATATCTACAGGTGTTTATGGTATATTTTATATCTATAGGTGTTTATGGTATGTTTTATATCTATAGGTGTTTATGATATATTTTATATCTACAGGTGTTTATGGTATATTTTATATCTATAGGTGTTTATGGTATGTTTTATATCTACAGGTGTTTATGGTATATTTTATATCTACAGGTGTTTATGGTATATTTTGTATCTATAGGTGTTTATGGTATGTTTTATATATATAGGTGTTTATGGTATGTTTTATATATATAGGTGTTTATGGTATGTTTTATATCTACAGGTGTTTACGGTATGTTTTATATCTATAGGTGTATATTTTATGTTTTATATCTACAGGTGTTTATGGTATATTTTATATCTATAGGTGTTTATGGTATGTTTTATATCTATAGGTGTTTATGATATATTTTATATCTACAGGTGTTTATGGTATATTTTATATCTATAGGTGTTTATGGTATGTTTTATATCTACAGGTGTTTATGGTATATTTTATATCTACAGGTGTTTATGGTATATTTTGTATCTATAGGTGTTTATGATATATTTTATATCTATATGTGTTTATGATATATTTTATATCTATAGGTATTTATGGTATATTTTATATCTACAGGTGTTTATGGTATGTTTTATATCTATATGTGTTTATTATATATTTTATATCTATAGGTGTTTATGGTATGTGGAATGTGTATGTTATTGGATTGTTGAGTTTATATGCTCCCCCACATAAACCGTATGGTAAGTTGAGATTTCTTGAAGTGATGTACCGTTCTGAAAATATCATCATAATAAATATTAAATCACAAGGAATGGACGTTCTCGGCCATTCTTATGTTCTGGCGAGGTTTTATATCTCTATTTTTACAGCTCGTATGTTTCCTCACACACTCGTTTAGTCCAACATTTCAATAATTTGTCTAGTAGATGGTGAAGCTCACTGATCGCGTACAGAACTTACGAGCTTTGAATGGACTAGTTGCACCTCTTACAGGGATTGCCTTGTTTAACCTTAGAAACTTAACATTACCTTTCACCGTTCATGGTTTATAAGCGATTATTGCAAGTTCCTCTATATTGTGATAGAAGTTTCAACTTAAAAAAATAAAGAGTCTAGCTCACTGGTCACTGAAGTTACCGAGTCTTGCAGGCACGAGTTGCTCCCCTTATTTCATATTTATTTATTGTTTCTCTTAAAATAAAAGTGAAATAAAACACTTCAATGTTTATATAACATTTAAGACCCTCTCTCTGTGAAGATCTCTCTGGTTGGGGGTTTTAGATAACATAAAAATCCTCAGCCGTGTATTATATTATAGTAAATTCAATTAAAGACAACTGATAAATAGCAAATAACACGACGAACTGTCAAATCCCCATCTTTAATGCCTTTGTAATTTTGTACTGGCAATGAAATTCATTCTTTGATTTAAGGGGACAGTAAACCATTTGGTCGTTTATAAAAAAAACATGTTTGTAGCTCAGAATCGGATAGAGTATATTATTTGACCAAACTTTTTTTTGTCTTGATTCAGATACAAGTTATGGAAGTGTACTTATCTGGTAACATTTGGCAGTTGAGGTGGACAGTGCCTTTCAGAATGTATTTATGGAAAAGTTTTTTTTTACCAGAATCAGCCTATATAATAAATACCTTGCCGATTTCAACTATTAAAGGAGGGGTGCTCAATTTATTCCGAATGCTCGATTGTTCTTTACTGAATTAGCAGAGACAGATAACCCCATACAGCTGTAAAGGGGATCTAAATTTACATTACTATTTTTGTATATAGTTCGTACATTTTTTATATACAGAATAAGTCGTACATTATCATTATCATGCTTCGATTACTTGACTGCTTATATAATTTTCTATCGTGTATTTTAAAGAACATAGTTCCATGTCATTTATAATTGTTTATTGTATTATTCTGTATTTTGTTTGTATTGTGAGACTGGAAGACTGGCCTATCGCTGGGTAATTGGGATCTGTATTTTGTTTGTATTGTGAGACTGGAAGATTGGCCTATCGCTGGGTAATCGGGGTCTGTATTTTGTTTGTATTGTGAGACTGGAAGATTGGCCTATCGTTGGGTAATCGGGGTCTGTATTTTGTTTGTATTGTGCGACTGGAAGATTGGCCTATCGCTGGGTAATCGGGATCTGTATTTTGTTTGTATTGTGAGACTGGAAGATTGGCCTATCGTTGGGTAATTGGGATCTGTATTTTGTTTGTATTGTGAGACTGGAAGACTGGCCTATCGCTGGGTAATTGGGATCTGTATTTGGTTTGTATTGTGAGACTGGAAGACTGGCCTATCGTTGGGTAATCGGGGTCTGTATTTTGTTTGTATTGTGAGACTGGACGATTGGCCTATCGCTGGGTAATTGGGATCTGTATTTGGTTTGTATTGTGAGACTGGAAGACTGGCCTATCGTTGGGTAATCGGGGTCTGTATTTTGTTTGTATTGTGAGACTGGAAGATTGGCCTATCGCTGGGTAATCGGGGTCTGTAGTTGGTTTGTATTGTGAATATGGAAGATTGGCCTATCGTTGGGTAATCGGGGTCTGTATTTTGTTTGTATTGTGAGACTGGACGATTGGCCTATCGCTGGGTAATTGTGATCTGTATTTGGTTTGTATTGTGAGACTGGAAGATTGGCCTATCGCTGGGTAATCGGGGTCTGTAGTTGGTTTGTATTGTGAATATGGAAGATTGGCCTATCGTTGGGTAATCGGGGTCTGTATTTTGTTTGTATTGTGAGACTGGAAGATTGGCCTATCGCTGGGTAATCGGGGTCTGTATTTTGTTTGTATTGTGAGACTGGAAGACTGGCCTATCGTTGGGTAATCGGGGTCTGTATTTTGTTTGTATTGTGAGACTGGAAGATTGGCCTATCGCTGGGTAATCGGAGTCTGTATTTTGTTTGTATTGTGAGACTGGAAGACTGGCCTATCGTTGGGTAATCGGGGTCTGTATTTTGTTTGTATTGTGAGACTGGAAGATTGGCCTATCGTTGGGTAATCGGAGTCTGTATTTTGTTTGTATTGTGAGACTGGAAGATTGGCCTATCGCTGGGTAATTGGGATCTGTATTTTGTTTGTATTGTGAGACTGGAAGATTGGCCTATCGCTGGGTAATCGGGGTCTGTATTTTGTTTGTATTGTGAGACTGGAAGACTGGCCTATCGCTGGGTAATTGGGATCTGATCTTGATGCTCAACCTTAATGTGTGTATTTTTATTGATTTGGTGAATTCTGACACATATTGTGTGCAACCCCCCACTTCCCGCCACTGCGTCCAAAATACTAATAAAAACCCCTATTATAAACACTGGACAACTTTTATGGTTTTATACCATTAAAACAGGCATTGATATCATAACAATATTTTATAACAAGTCTAATATGTACATAGTCAGTCAGAACAAAATGAACCGGTGAATTTGGCCCCTTGTTCGAAACTTTTTGACCCTCACTTTCAAATCGTTCACAATTGCAAAATTGAGACTGATGGCCACAAACAATTTCGGATTCGGTTATTTACAAATAACTTTTTTTTTCTCTGAGCACACTTTTCTCTGCAAAGTTAAAACAAAATGTAAACACAGTTTCAGTCTTTCATGTCCTGGTATAGAATCTGTAAAGCCTGTTTAAACTCCTTCAATTCGGTTTCAAGTTTAGAAATATTATCAATTATAGAAAATAGCTGTTGTATCTTGTCCTGGACGATCTTGCCTTGTTTATCATACACGGCAAATAAATGTTGTTCGGTTGCTTTGTACACTTTCTCTGTCTGGAAAATAAACAATTCATACTAAAATTAAAAATTAAAAAAATAACAAAAGCCTATTAGAAAAAATAATGACACGCCACGCGATGAAATGTACTATAATCTCTGCCTGTGCTTTGCTAGTAGGGGTCATGAACCACGTATTGATGAAACCCTGCAAACGTTGCAATGCGTGGGAACCCCTTGGCGCAAGATCTAAATTTTGTATTGACCAACCGTTTCAAAATCTGCAGTATGTATCTCTACCGTACAAAACCTTTGTTATGCTGTGATCGAAACCCATGCTAATAGATGGACGCGTACTCAGAGATTTCGGCCAGTTTTGCTTTCCAATACACAACATAAAAGAAAGAATATAGTAATTATCTATTATGTTACTCTCGATCATATAAAATATCCATGTACATAATAATGCCTGGGCCCGTATGCTATTTGCCTATTGCACATGCATTGACTTTGGTATGCTAATTTATCGGTTACTCTCAAATGGCAAATCATACCTGTTTCTCCAATGCCTTTTTGAGATCTATCAGCAACTGTGTGTCTTGTTTCCTTTTAGCGTTTAAATCATCAATAATTTGCTGGGCTGCAGTGGACAGGCTATCGCGGTTTATTTCAGACGATATGACCACTTTCTCTGGGAAGGGGTCTGTATGAGGGATACTCAGTTGGTTAGAACTGCTAGAAGAATTGTTAAACATATCCTGTTGCATACTGGAATAAAATAACGATACAGCAACAAATAGAACCACAGGACTATCTGGTGTTGGGCTGGTGGTTAATCTTGAAGTGTATTGCGTGACCAGATCCGTTATGACCAGATAGTGATATTAATACCAACCCATATAGGCCCTACTAACCACGTCAAGCTTCAACAAATTTTAAAAATCACCTTTCCCAATTTCGTTTTGTCATTTTAATCTTTTTTTCTTTATAGGGGTCTACCCCTGTACATACTCTGGGCTATTGACCCATTGAAGTGCAGTTGACAGCGGAGCAGTTTAAGATTTTTATATCACTAATAAACAACATCTACCTATGATCCTCACTGTTATTGGTCGATGTCGTTTGCTGTGCGACGTCAACTTCACTGTGGTTATTGTTGTTAGTATTGTGAACTAGATCATGTGATTCTACAGGATCTCCATCAATTTCTACCCCGTCCATCATACAATCTGTAATTATAATGGATAAACAATTAGACGTGAAACATTGAATATCTTAATCTAGGAGCATGAATTAGTCCAAAACTTTTTGAGTTGGCAGAATCTGTTTTAGAGAGGGTGGTAAATATCTGAGATTGCCCGAATTTCTAACCTTGTTATGAGATTTTTGCGGCTGCTCCCTCGGTCCCCCTCCCCCTTTGGCTCCGCCACTGGTAGCCTTATAACTAACACGATAAATTAGATCATAATCAGACCTTACAATATGTTAAGAAGTATCAATTCTGTTTCAAATTCAATTTAAGTGCTGAAAAACCTGAAATTCACTATAAAATTCAGTTTTTGTCTTCTGCTAAAATCTGTTAAGAGGAGTAATGTCCCTTTAATGAGAAATCATTGTTTCCTGAAAAAAACAAAGGGGTATTTATTATGAATAAAATGTTACAAGATATAATACCTTGGAGTAATGATATTTTTCATAAAATCATAGATAGATAGAAATTACTCTAGGTTTTCAAATAGGAGAAATATTAGCGATTTGTTTCGGAATTTTTTCGCTCAATAACAGCTCCCTTTAATTATCTAGGTGGCGCTGTGTGGGGTCGACAAGTTTGTCTGGCTTTTTATGAAGACAATTTTATTTTCTACGCAAATTTTCGCTACGAATTTTCTTCAAAATGGGAGGAGTTGTTCTTGAGACTCTGAGCAACAGAAAACTGTCCATTTTGGCAGTTTCTCTGCTTCTGCTTCTGTTTGTTTTCTTCTTGATTGGTGGACTTGTAGGTTTGTATTGATTCGTCATCTTCTCTCGATCCCATTTTTATTTTTTGATGTTTTCTTTGATCTTGCCGACAACTTTAATAGCTCTGGGGGATATTGCATGCCTTTTAACAACATAACGAGTAAAAAAAGTTTATTGAGACTTATTTAGAGATTTATTCAGACAAAAAACATTCAGAGACTTTCATTAGACTTTTGTTTTGATGCTGATAATCCAATTTAGGTAGTCCTAAAGTAAAAATAATCAATTAGAGTTCGATTTGTTAAAAGAACGATAAGCCTTCCAATTCTTATCTCGGGGATTTCATTCCATTGGTTTTCTCATCGTGAAATCTTATAAACGGTACTGTATTAAATATCATAAGCCTATATAGACTACTAATTATTGATAAGCTTCATGTCTTTCCGCTGTGATTTTTAGTTATTATTATTTACTTTTTTCCTTACAGCCCCTGCTCCTTCAAGTGTTATGAACATGTTAACGACTAAATGTTATGATAAACATGTTTATGCACATGAAAAGAAATGGTATATTCCACGTGGCTTACATGCCTGTGATCAGATAGATGATTTGAGCAATCCAGTGGTTAATGATAAACGCATTGAAGCCAGTATGGTGGTGTTTTCCTTATGGCTGCCCTATCCTAGAGAAAATAAACAACTGAATATGTCGCGATGGTTTCAGAATATGCTGACTGTCATACAGATGGATATCGAACACCATGATAACAATCCTCTCAGTAAGTATAGTCCTGTTACTAAGTAGGTAGAAATACCACAAATGAAGACACCTTCGAAGCTATACTGTTAATCCTCTTAATGCCTCTTAAAATGAACATAAAAAGTTTGAATTCTCATACCTGACCAATAAGAGTATCGGTATTTATATTCATCAGTGGACTTACCTGGTATCATAACTATACAACAGAATCCTTCTAAAATAAAAAAAAAAGTTTGATGGATTAAACAAATTATGAATTCAATTCATTTATGTATATTTATAGAAGCCAATGCTACAATGAGAATGGAGGTGAGACTGGGTTATAGAAATCAACAGGATAATGAATCAGATTGGAAGGAATTAATCTCGACACATGAAGATAGACCATTACGCTGTGACACAGATCGGGTAAGTATGCAAGATTTTTTCAATGTCTTGAATTGATTGCTTTCTGTTTCATTTTTGTCTAGAATTATACTTGGTATGGGGGTTAATTTTTGTCTTGAATATAATATGTAAATAGTCTTCAGAAATACTAGAAATGTACGAAAATTGCATTATTCCTTTAAAAATACCTCAAACTAGAAGTTCCACTTACTATTTTCATATAATTTTCTATATGTGGCAGAGACTCAAAGAAATTGTGGTTTCTGAGACTAAGGTACGATCGGTCAAATGGATGACTAACCTGTCCCTTAAATATGATACTTGGTTATGATATCAACATCATTTCATATTCTAGGTAGAAGAAGATGATTACTATAGATGTGAATTGTTGTCATTTTTTGAATTAGGAAGTGTTCATTATGATTATTACCTTATCAATATAAGACTTCCTGTTTATCAATCTAAAGATGTTAATTTAGGCCTGGGAACAATTAAAGATATTCACATTATTGTAAGTACCTTATAGTGTCTTATTCTACCTTACATTGCACCTGCACATTAAATGAAAATACATTATTAAATATTTCTAGCTTTAAGTAAGTGTCAGAATTATCCTCGAAAGGCTTTAAAACTATGGACTATATTCAGGTTACAATATTACTATCACTTGGTAAAATGCTTTCAGCCCAAGAATACACAATGAAATCTTCCATTCATAATTGAGGTACATTTACTGGTAGTTTAATGGAAACTGCCAAGAATTACTGAAAGTTTTAAAATTACACTTCAGACAATATTTCAAAATGGAGGATTTACCAAAGTTTGGTTTTCACTGAAGACCACGATGTTTCCTGTTATTATTGCTGTTCTGGTGTGGTTCTGGAGAAGAGTTAAGCTACTCAGTAGACAACCAAACTTATTGGAAAGGTAAGTGAGACTGAGCATTTGTTGATCTAAATCTAAAGCCTAGATCTAGAAGACTAAGTATACATAAGCCAATGTTGAGCTGAGATAAACACCTATAGCAGGTTATCAATTTTGTGGCTTTAGATATCTTATATAAGATTTTTATTTTCAGGACCTTGTTAACTCTAGGTATTGTGTTGTCTATCATGAATTGTAAGTATTATTTTAACATTCAGTCGTGTATTGTATTAAACTTAGATGTATTATCACCAGTTTTTGCAATGCCCTTTGGAGCTCAATTAGTTCACTCAATTAGTTTTCAAACAGTACCTTATCTTTTGATCGTTTTTGATGTAAGTTTGATGTAACACTTGTTAACTTTTTACAACTATAAGATAAACTTTAATTGTATTTTTTTTTTATAGAAACACATTGTAGCTTTAAACAAATATTCGTTAAATGAAAATGGCTTCAAGATTCTATTGTTTTTGGTATTTTTCATAAACCAATCAAACCTTGATTCTTGTTTCTCAAATTTTGGTGTATATTTTCAGGTCCCCTAGAATGGTTCACCCTCTGGTTTAATCTACCTTGGATGAGTATACTATCAGATATAAGACAAGGTGCTTTCTATGCCACTCTTCTCTCATTCTGGATGATATTTGCTGGTGAACACATTATGGTAGGTTCTCTTAAATTCCTTCCCCTCTCCTCCATGCATGATGCGTCGTATCTCCTCTTACCTTGGATCTCTTTTTTATTGTCAATAAGTGGTTTTAAACCTGCATTACCCAATAATGTGCTGAAAAGTATTGCTAAAAACTCCCTTTGTTTACCTCAGTTTCACCAAAACTTGTTTGAGAAACACCAGTTCATTTGATTACCACTATTCCACCATTTCTTTCAGGATTCAGTACCAAAGAATAACCTGAGAAGTTATTGGAAACATCTAACATCAGTTGTATTTGGTTGTGTTTGTATGTTTGTATTTGAAATGTGTGAAAAGTAAGTCAACAATAATGATAATACCTCAAGGGAATTACAGGCCCTAACTTTCTTAATTCAGAATTTTGATTATCATTGAAGTTGCATGTCTATTATCTCCTTTTAATATTTCTGATATCTCTTATAATATTTTGACATGAAAAAAGTGTCTCTACAGGCTGTGCACATTGAAGATTCCTCGACAGTTGGAAATCGAAAAGAGAGTATGCTGTCCTGTCAAAATTAGGATAAGATGTAAAACTCCATCCCTTCATTTCGTTTTCTTACTATCTGATACGAGATTTTGATATTTATGAAGGTAAAATGCATTTTTTTGGTGTATTTTCAGAGGGATGCAGTTGGCAAATCCATTCTACACTATCTGGGTGTCAGAAACTGGTACTCAGCTTGCAGTATCCTTTACTTTGAAACATGTCAGAATTTGAAACGCATCTTTTCGACCTGCATCCAGGCCTTGCAGTATTTGTTATTACGTATTTTGCCTTATACCTTAACTGCAATAGCCACATTTGTTGTATCATAGAATGTAGCGATTTGATTGGTTTGTATACCAGAGAATTCAGCCAATCAGAGCCCTTGACAGACACACTTTAAACATTATGGCTTGTTGTTCACAGACTTTCTGTCAAGGTCTCTGATTGGCTGTATTCCTTTCTTTACAGTACAATCAAATGACTGAATTTACAAACCACTGTGATACAAGAAAGCAGCTATTGGGGTCAAGGTATAAGACGAAGTTTGTGAATATGACTTCCTTAACCACAATTTAGCTGGCTTTTATTATCCTAGCTGGTATAGCTGCCTGTACCTACTTTCTGTTTCTATCCTATATGATATACAGAGTCTTCAAAAACATCAGTGCTAAAAAAACGGCTCTGCCTCAGATGAGTAACTTAAGGAAGAACTTCTACTTGGTAAGTTGGTATCTTGTAACTCAATGGTTGAAAATGGAAAGCAATACTAGCGGTATTTGTGGCAGTGGAAAAGATCAAATGTTGTGTGCTAGACAATAGGTTTTGTGGTAAGAAAAGTTATGATGCCACACCTGAGAGTTGGCCCAGTGTTGGATTTCACAGCCATGCCTCAAAGCAAGCAACGACGATGATGGAAGTTAACCTACAATTTGTTTTGTTGGATACTCCTATTATTATGTCTTTATGATTTATTTCAGGGCCTGATTTTCAGGTTCAAGTTTTTGATGGTGTTAACTCTACTGTGTGCTGCATTGACTGTTATATTCTTCATCATCAGTCAAGTCAGTGAGGGTCAGTGGAAGTGGGGAGATGATGGAATCAGTTTGGAATATTCTAGTGCTTTCCTGACAGGTAGTAAATCTAATTATCTAAAAGAGGCCCTGTATAACTTCTGTCCAGACAAGAGCTGGGATAACCAAATAACTTAAAGGCACACATGTTTGGTCAATCGTACCCAAGTGTCTCAAACAGGAATTTATTTCTAGTATTTCTGAAGACTATTTACATATGTTCAGACCCAAATCAACCCCCAAAAATAGCAAACTATGGCCTTTAAATAGTGTAATAGTAATCAGATTGATTTAGTTTTCCAACCAACAGAATTTATCCCCGTTTTCACGATATTTTATATCTACAGGTGTTTATGATATATTTTATATCTATAGGTGTTTATGGTATGTTTTATATCTACAGGTGTATATGGTATGTTTTATATCTACAGGTGTTTATGGTATATTTTATATCTACAGGTGTATATGATATATTTTATATCTATAGGTGTTTATGGTATGTTTTATATCTACAGGTGTATATGGTATGTTTTATATCTACAGGTGTTTATGGTATATTTTATATCTACAGGTGTTTATGATATATTTTATATCTATAGGTGTTTATGATATATTTTATATCTACAGGTGTTTATGGTATATTTTATATCTATAGGTGTTTATGGTATGTTTTATATCTATAGGTGTTTATGGTATATTTTATATCTACAGGTGTATATGGTATGTTTTATATCTATAGGTGTTTATGATATATTTTATATCTATAGGTGTTTATGGTATATTTTATATCTATATGTGTTTATGATATATTTTATATCTATAGGTGTTTATGATATATTTTATATCTATAGGTGTTTATGATATATTTTATATCTATATGTGTTTATTATATATTTTATATCTATAGGTGTTTATGATATATTTTATATCTATAGGTATTTATGGTATATTTTATATCTACAGGTGTTTATGGTATGTTTTATATCTATATGTGTTTATTATATATTTTATATCTATAGGTGTTTATGATATATTTTATATCTATATGTGTTTATGATATATTTTATATCTATAGGTATTTATGGTATATTTTATATCTACAGGTGTTTATGGTATGTTTTATATCTATATGTGTTTATTATATATTTTATATCTATAGGTGTTTATGATATATTTTATATCTATAGGTGTTTATGATATATTTTATATCTACAGGTGTTTATGGTATATTTTATATCTATAGGTGTTTATGGTATGTTTTATATCTATAGGTGTATATGATATGTTTTATATCTATAGGTGTTTATGGTATGTTTTATATCTATAGGTGTTTATGATATATTTTATATCTACACGTGTTTATGGTATATTTTATAACTCATGAAATTATATCTATATGTGTTTATGGTATATTTTATATCTATAGGTGTTTATGGTATATTTTATATCTATAGGTGTTTATGGTATGTGGAATGTGTATGTTATTGGATTGTTGAGTTTATATGCTCCCTCACATAAACAATACACTCAGACCAATGGTAAGTTTGTGTTTAAATGTTACCCTGATAAGACTGACTCAAGTGACAGTTTTTGTCCATGGAATTTTGCCAATATGGGAACAATATTTCACTATTTATAGAAATTTATTTTATATTCAAAGAAGAAATAAAAGCTTTGTCAGTTAGATTGTGGTAGGAGTTGTTTTACAAACCGTTTTGTTTTTGTCTTTTTTCAGATACAAGTGATGGAAGCCAAGAAGAAGAGGTCCAACTGACGCAAATACCCACAGAAACATCGGCCATGACCTCATTTATTAGTAAAGAGGCTCAGGAATAGACTGTGACATTGAAATATATTGTGATAGACTGCTATATGTGGTACTGTTAGACATAGTTTACAAAACAAAATTAATGTACTTTAAAGTTGAACTTTGTGTGGGAAAAAACCTTTTTGTACTTGGAAGTTCTAACTTGTGAAACTACTTATGACAGACCTTTTGTACTTAAAGATCCTTTATACTAAGATTTCTAATTAGTTCAGAGTTTAGTTTGAAAATTCTCATGTATTTTATTGGATTATTGTATATTCATTGGATGGACTTTTTGTTAGACAAAACTTGTGTACTTAATGTTCTACAGTGTGTGACTTATTTTGAGATGAAACCCTGTGTACTTTAAAGTTCAAACTCTCTTGACTTTGTATGACAAAGAACAGATGCTTTATACTTAATAGTGAATTACAGTGCTGGACTTACTTAATGCACTTTTAAGTCTAATTTGCAAGACTTTGTGATGGTAAAATCCTTATTAGAAATCCTATTTTCATGTGACAATGAAAACTTTGTCTGTTATTTTTCTGTCATTGTTTTAGAAGTCAGGTATACAGCATTATTATTATTATTATATGGAGGGAAAATATCTCAATTCTTTAATACATTCATAAACTGCTTTGTTCTTACGATGATGAGCTTTTCCCCTCTTACTGTCCTTAACGATCATACAGTTTTTGATACACCTTTCTTCCATAAATTTTACAATCTTTTGTATCACTACTGTGGTATTTTTCACCAACCTACAATATTTTTTAGTTGTGGGGCCAGTGCTGTAGACATAGTTGTATGTATCAGACACATATTAAAAGAATAGTCAAGTTATTGAATGTCTTTAGGTCTTTTAAAATCAAAATGAGCCAGTTGTATGGCCTTTAATAATATATTTACTAAACCACAAAATGTGTGACCATATTGAACTAATATTATTTTAATGTGCAATCAAGGTTGGTGAAACAGACTATTTATCATATGCCCATGTAATGTAAAATGTATATCTTTGTTACCCATGTCTGTAATATGTCTGTAAAAATTTACATGATTTATTGCCCCTCTGAGATGAATTATTGTTAAAAAACACCTGCCAGTGGGTATATGTTTTCTTGCTTGGCACTGTTACAGTGTTGCAAATGTAAGTGGCAAATATATATTAAGCAATAATAATGAAATGTTTTAATTCATGTGATTTGTTCTGTGGTGATACCAGGTTGGAACCATTTAGACCAGAACAATTTTGATTCTACAATATTGGTGTTTTTGACTGTTCTCTTTTGAAACAAATTTTAATCAAAATATATAATTTTTTGTGCCAAATTTGTCTGTTTTACTTGCAAATTTTTGTGTTGTCAGTAATTGACTAGGGCTATTTTCATTAAAATTGAGTTTAGAAAAATAAGGTAGGAGATATTATAGTATTTTATATTGTGCTATAGTGATTCTTTGTTAGCCTTAAATGATATGATATTTTTGTGTTAATAAGAAAGGAACCCTTGCTGCTCATATTTTGTAGGTATCGTGATATTAGATATGTTACAGGAATGGTTATTAGTTGAATTGAATCAATGGTTGCTGGCATTGAGGTGTTTATTGATCTTAATGTCTTTTCACCTATCGTAAGACGAGGTATATGCACGGTGATTATTGATCAATGCAACTGTTGGCACTGAAGTGGTCATTAGTCTCAAGTATCTAATATTCGATCTGTTGATTCAAGGGTTAACTCGCAACCTTGAGAGCTCAGGATGTTTATTATTATGGAACTGGTTGTGCTTCAGTGAGTAATTTCGTATGGAATTCACAGACGCTGGTTTTAAATTTGATAATAGATTTTATGTTTATATATTTTGTATTTTTATAGTTTATAGGTTGTATTTTTATTTGTATTAAATATCATTATTCTTAGTTTGTTTTATTCTAACATTGTCATCTCGTATAGCGCATTCAGAAATCTTCGACAGTTTCTGTAAAGCTGGATCTGTTGCAGAGCTCCGACAGAACTTTCACGGTAGACAGTCATCGTGTCCAAACCACACCCCATTCGTCATACTTCTTCGGGGTTAGTAAGAATATGTCAAAACCCGTATTCGTGATACGATGGGTAGACATTCTGCGTATAACGTTCACACTGGGCAGTGCCAGCAAACAACGAGAGAGGTGTATAGTTAAATCAAATGGCGTATTTAGGTTATCAAATAAGATAACAAAGGCATTAACAAAGTTTATTATAAATTGAATGAAAGAGATGATATGGATGATAGAAGCACCAGTCTATCTACAAAATGTAACAAACAAGTTATGGTTTTATCATACAGGTTTTTTTCTTTTTAAATATTTATGGTTTCAACAATCGATAGAGCACTGATACGACGTATACTGTACAATGCTGTAGCCTACCCTTCAGTTTAGTAATATGCACAGCACTACAGTACATTAAAGCTATCAAGTCTGTATTTCCTTGTCAAAAACATGATATTTCTTGCGAAAAAAAAATGAAACTAAAGATAAGAAATGACATCAAGACAAGGTAAAAAATAATTAGGCCTAAAAATAAATAAACAATGGTTATTATTACTTTAAAAACCAAAATAACGAAAGCTTGATTATTGTATCGCAAAAAATAAACTAAATTGAAAAGAAAGTCTCAGTGGAATCATTCTACTGTATTTAATGATCTGTTCAATCAACTTAATTAATAAATAACAATTTAAACATAATTTTTATAAAATGTCATGGTACGAATAATTATAACTATAACGGCTCAAAAAACTCGAATTCGAATTCAACACCAAGCTTTTCAGAATACATTTAGTTCAATTACTTCAATAACCCCACAACAAATAACAAAGGTTGTACAACAACATAATATAATCATGAAGAAAAAGCATATTATACAATATAATAACAATAATAACAGTGAAAATATTTGATATTTGCACAATTGTTTAGCCTACTGCCCAGGCCCCGTATTCTCGAATCGATCTTAGCGCTAGGATGTCCTAGAATCAATGTTAGAAGGTAAGAACCTAGGACACCCCAGCGCTAAGATCGTTTCGAGAATACGAGGCCAGGATTCTGAGCTATCTGAATGTTCAAATGTTTACTTAGGAGTAAGTTCATAAAACGTCCAGTAACAACGTTCAATCATTTGTCTCCATTTGTTATAAATATTTTCGTTGTTCGTAAAGGCATTTCGATGTATCGAATGGTAACATTTTGTCAGTACAACAATTATAATCTGGTAGAAATAAATGGAGTTTTACGTCCTATTTGTAATCTAGTAAAGGGGGCGAAGACTTTTTATCTACCATTATCCAAATACATGTATTTGGTCTATTAAATATTATATAATAATGAACAATAGTTTAAAATGAAATAAATAAAATTGAAATTTCAAAATTAATTAGTATGAAGCGTTAATTAGCACCATCATTAGTTCTTTGTTAAAGTTCCTCATAAACATCATCTGAAATATAATAAAATCAAACAACCTTCATTACCACATTAGTAAGTGAGCAATGTTGATGAAGGAGCGAAATCCATTGTAATGTTGTTACTTCTGCTATATCTGGTCAAGCTTATTTAAATCCCGATTAAAAATGTTGTCTCTAATGAATGAAAATGACCAAAATGAATGAAGTAATATCCCCCTCCCCCCACGACCTTAAGTGACTATATTTGAGCCATCCAAACTGCTCAATGGTCACCAAAACCAAACAAATCGTTTTCTATGTGGCTGTATGAGCGATCCTTATGCATTCTTTGAATCCCCAAAGTGTAACTATCGACAATAGATCTACAGGACGCCCTGTTTCAACGGTTTTGAACATGTTTTCAATAATTTAGGACGACCATGATGCTTGCTCTGCACTGCTCTGTCTTGTTTGAGCCCACCCCATCCCCCCATCTCAACATCAACCTTGCAAATATTATGGTCAGGATAGCTACAAAGATGGCCATCTTCTGTGCCGCCCCGTCTAACTAATGTAAACTGTTGTTTATCAGATTTTAAATAATGGTTAAGGAATGATTCCCGAACAACCAGGCACCATGAGTTGGTGATATTGTTAATCGACCCATTTAGTAGAATGATAATGTTTTCAATCTATAAGTTATCTATATATTAATATACATGATGAAGTTATTTCACCGTAGATGATGATGATGATGTTGGATGAGAAATTCCCTATATAGAGGTCATGTACCTAGTTATTATTTGTTACTTAGCAATAATACCCGGAGTCCATGACTATGTTGAAGTAAGTATTTGTTTAGTTGAAAGTTTGAAAGAATTGCTGTTTGTTTAAAAAATTAATTTCAATGTTTTCAGAAGAAATTCATTCTAAAATTTCAAAATTCAGAGACAGAAAACCACATTTTATAATGAGAAAAACCTAATTTTAGACACAAAAAAATCAAATTTTAGAGATAGAAAATCAAATTTTAGTGACCGATAAATCAAATTTAGATGTAGAAAATAGACTTTTACAGAAAAATCAACATTTGAAAGATGAAATAGAATTCATAATGGTGATTTATACGAGTCGTTCTTGGTATTTTTCTGTAATGAAAGTATATAAGGTATATATATATAGAGAGAAAGAAGACAAGCTAACCCTACAAGGGAACGAGAGGATAAGCAATACGAATACACCATTGTTATTGTACAAGGACAGCCCTTAGTCCATCAGGATCTTACCCAGATCATCTGTATCTATTGACTGCTGGAATATTGAGAGAAGAGTATATATTCAAATCCACCTGTCTCTTGATTATTGATTATACATGGCCGATATCGAGTTCCCAGACTTTCAATCAAATCAAGTAGTCTATCTGACTTCCAATCTTCGATATTGAGATGTAGGTTATTTGAATGTCAATCGGCGATATCGAGATATTGGTCAATAGACTGCCAATCGGCGATATCGAGATATAGGTCAATAGACTGCAATCAGCGATATCGAGATATAGGCATTTAGATTACCAATCGCGATGCCGAGATATAAGTCATTAGTTATATATTGGCAATATTGAGGTATGGTCATTTGACTGTCAGTCGACGATATTGATATATACGCATTTATATTACCAATCGCGTTGTCGAGATATGGGTAAGTAGACCGTCAATCGACGATATCGAGATAAAGGCTTTAAGACTGTCAATAGGCAGCATCGAAATATAGGTCATTAGACTGGCAATCTTCGATATTGATATTTAGATCATTATTCAATCAATCGGCGATATCGAGATGTAGGTCGGTGGACAGTAAATCAGCGTTATCAAACATCGAGCTATTAATTTTATGACACGCCCATACAGAGTACTCTAACCATCTAAGCTATGGCAATTGCAGACACTTTTTATATTTAAGTGATTTTGCTTAATGCATATTTGTGTTAAAATGTGGGATATAACACAAATTCAACGTAATTATGACCCCACCCCTGCTCTTTGAATGAAAAAAGTACTCACCGTCTATTCTGAAAAAAACAAAAAAAAGCCAAAGTTAATAATGTGCAAAATTAATTGCCATGTCAAAGTATTTTCGAGTGATAGTAAAGTAAAGAGTATACAACAATAGCATCATGTCACAGCATTACTATATGATATTGTCATGTAGACACAATGTCATGTCAAAGTACTGCACATAGCAATATTGTAATACCAAAATAATGCCATGTCACATCATTACTTCATGGAAATGCCATCTTACATACCACTTGTCACATAACAATATAGTATGTAGCATTGTATCACAAATGACCGTTGTAAAACAATTCAAATGATATACTGATCTTCTTTCAAAATATCACTTTGAACAATATTGTTGGAGTACACAAATTGCAACAACGATAAAAGAAATAATCATCCACAGGCATACAAACAACAAAATTAAATACGGGGATGTAACAAATAAAAAATATTAAAAAATATGAATAGAAATAAACTTTGTTAGAAAACTGACAATATTAAATGGTAACATTGAATTCAATGTTTGATTAAAGGTGGACATAGCTTGTTATTTTTTAAATTGATTTATGATAAGATGTAATTATAAGTATTATCTTTTTCAGTGCCAATCAAACCTTAGCTTTTGACCGCAAGACATTACGAGAATATGAGAAAATCAAAAAAATATCTTGCTTAATTCATCTCGGCGGTTTTCTTTTTTTGAAAAGCACCCAAACATATTTTATTACAGCCTTTTTTAGGTTATTCTGGACCGAAAATTTGAGCTTCTAAATGCTCCATTTTTTTTCCTTGAGTTTGAAATTCTGAACTGATCTCCTGGGTCATGTAAAAAAAACATCAGAGCCCGTAGAAAATCTGACAAAAAAATATTAATATTAATATATTGACAGTCAGTAAATTAAAAAATGTACAATATCTAAAAAGGGCTAGGATTTAAAACAGGGGAACATTTATAAACTTACATAAATAATACCAAGAATGAGATTTACGATCCCTTCTCGGTCGTTTTTTAATATGGGTATGTATAATTGGTAGATTAGAAGACAGACAGCTGAAATCATATAGTTTAATTGTTTGAAACTGTCACTAAGAGATGACCCCCTACCCCCATCTCATACCACTCAATATTCTGTACCCGTAATTCTGTAATTTTGCATAATACATACTTGGTCCATTTGTTTTATTATGTATGTATCAATTATAGAGCTATATAGATATACCACTGTTAAAATAGTGCTCAATACATCAATTGTAGAGTGATATAGATATACCACTGTTAAAATAGTGCTCAATACATCAATTGTAGAGCGATATAGAAATACCACTGTTAAAATAGTGCTCAATACATCAATTGTAGAGCGATATAGAAATACCAGTGTAAAAATAGTGCTCAATACATCAACTGTAGAGCGATATAGAAATACCACTGTTACGATAGTGCTTAATACATCAATTATAGAGTGATATAGAAATACCATTGTTAAGATAGTGCTTAATACATCAATTGTAGAGTGATATAGAAATACCAGTGTTAAAATAGTGTTCAATACATCAATTGTAGGGCGATATAGAGATATAACTGTTCAGATAGTGCTTAATACATCAATTGTAGAGCTATATAGAAATATACGGTGATGGTGAGGAATATACAGAATAACGCTACATAATAAATCTGGATTTTAAAATCATAACGTTATACAACATTTAAAGCGACAGTTATATAATAAAGATATTGCTGAACAAACCTAGAAAAATAGTTTATCAATAATCAATGTAACAAATTGTATGCTTACCCATTGGCTTGCATATCATCGGCAACCATATACTCTTGTTCATCGTTCATCCACTGTAAATATTATAAATATTCCTTTAATATTAGGGCTAGATATTCTACGAGGGCTCAAAAAATTTGACCATGATCATAAAATATATTTAAGATAGAATATTTGAGAAAAAAAGAATTTCATAAATTGATAGAAATTTCAGATTAGATTAAAGTGACTATTTCAATCTATCACTTTAAAGTGGTCGTTTAAGAAAAAGAGATGAGAAAAGGTTTACAGATATAGGCCTAATAAATTAACAAATTTCAGAAATTCAATGTATTATGCATTTTATAAAAAAACAATACTTATCGGTATAGATTTTTTTGCATTGTTATAAATATTGTTGCATTGTTATATTTTTGCATATATATAAATATTTACACGATAATACATATTTACATTTTCACTTTTAAATATAATTATAGAAATTTACATAATTAAAACATATATTTACATTAATATAAATACTTATTATATTATCAAAAAAATATTTGTTTTATTAAAATGTAACTTATTGGAAATAAAAACAAATTAAAAGTAAAAAAAAGACAAAATATGTAATGTTTAAAGATAATAAATAAAATTTCCTGGCTCAAAAGTCAAATTCGGACAATTGCCTGACTAAACCAGTTTGCCCTTATTAAAATATAGACCCTTTATAATAATAAAAACAAAACCAAATTCAAACTTCATAACAAAAAAGGAGAATAAACATATTCGAGGGGTACAAAGAAAGTAGTTCGACGTGTAAAAAGCCAAAAGAAAAAAATAATGGTTAGATGGCCGTATCTGAAAAAAAGTAATTTGTAAGAAAAAATTGACCTCCAAGTTTTATTGTTAATACAAATTTTTTTTTAACAAAATCCCAACACCTAAAGTATTCAATATAAAAATTCCCATAAGAATATAGAAGGTGGAAGAACCTACTGAATATCCCTTTAAGAATTCCAGACTTCCTAAACTTAGACATTTAGTCCTCGTTTCTTGAAGTATATAATCTATCATCACCTTTTAAAAATAGAGCAAAAGCGTAATTGCACGTGCATAGTGGTTTTATTCATAATATAGATCATACTAATCATACATAATAAATAGTTGTTAATAAAGTTCAGTGTACATGCGGTATAGTATATATGTATTGGTTATGCTATAGGATGGTTTTATATCTCACCCTCCAAGGGATCAGGGAAATATAACATAACCCAGCTTGTATATAACCCTAAAGCACGTGCCCCTTGGACATGGGCTACTGATTGGCTGTGATTTGAAGAGAAACTCCCTTCTTAGCTAAATTGTACACTTTTTGAAAGATAATAAGCACAATTGCAAAGTATATTTTGGACAAGCAAGTCCTTGATGATTAGTGATAATAATCATGTGGACGGCTAATTATCACAGTTCAAATCTTTGACATGAAAATTGGAAAGGGACAGGTGCGCGATTTTTTTGTTTTGATAAATGGAACCTTAGTCTCAGAAACGAGAATCAGTAGTAGTGTTCACAGCTCACCGTCGAAATTTGAGCCTCAAAATCTATGTGTGTCCAGAATTATCTGCGTTTGTCGTCATTTTAAGATACTCTGTGATATATAGAAAAGACAAATATAGAAATAGTGAGTAAAATTCCTAGTTTGAAGTATCTTTAGAGGAATTATGCTATTTTCTAGTGCTTCTGAAGTCTATTTGCATATATTCAAGACCTAAATCAACCCCCTAAAAAAGGTGCACCTGTCCCATAAGCCAGTGAATGAAAATGTACCAAGAAGCGGTTTCTCTTTATATTTTGTGGACATTATATATTGGACAGCCTGTTTTAACTTACTATATTCTGTAGTCTCGGAGGAAGTAGAAAACCTATATAACTCTACAAGCATATCAGATCATATATTCAAAACAAATAAGCATGGGTTGTTATAATTTTGTCAGGGGGGAATCCGTTTTTTCGGTAACGGAGTTTTATAGCTAGATAAAATGCAGGAGAGTATATTATGTTTAAAAAGAATTCCCGGAGGGAAGGACCCCAACCCACTTAAGACAACAGGCCCCCCACTTATATAGTTGAGCCACAGTCTATCAAATAGATGCGACTGAACACGCTTATACATGTACAAAACAACAACACACATTAGAACACGAATAAAGAGAGCACATCAACACAGGATTAGACCAACAGGATCATTTTGGTTACCTGACATTAACACATTTATATTTACATAAAGTATTCTAGGTCACAGGTATTTGTGCACACCCAGGTATGATTCAAAAGCAGTTCACATAATTTATGGTACTTTAAGAAGTACGGTTAACACAATCAAGTCCTCTAGCCTTAGATACGATTTCCATATAATCCACGGCCAGTGCTTCCGAGAGTCGAATTTCAACCACAATCACCAGAACAAAGTAGACTGTTAGATTTTATGTTTGAATCGAATCCGGATGTGCACAGTTATCTTTCTAGCCCCTATCCCTCTATATATGTAGATCATTACCAACCCAAATACCAACACAAACCAAATACGTGTGCCTTATTTCTTGTAACAAGCTAGTTGCTCTAGCTCTACAGAGTAAGGAAATCAACGAACTGTAGAGTTTATAAAGGACACACAAGAGAGATACATGCGACAGCAAGAAATACAAGATTACAACAGACAGTAAGAGTTACTCGTACACATCGGTTTTATATATAGATTTACGATTGGTTGGGAATAGTTTTTCGGTTTCAATTTTGTAATCTATATGAAGTTCGTCGTCACGTGAAATTTATTCATTAGGGGCTTGTGACGTTACGAATCAAATCATATTCTTATTGAGATAAATACAAAGGTATCTGTGTTGTAATTAGACTGTAAACTCCATAAAGCGCTAGGTAAAGTGTCTTTTTTTTTACTAATATTCTGCTCCCGATTGGGCTAACAGCGACTTATTAGTACTTTTAGTAATATTTCCTCCGACCTTGACCGTAACAGTTTTAGTTTCAACAGGGCATTCTAATAGGAAACTTATTCACGAATTGAAACTGAAATAATCTGGTGGGACAGTTGTTAGTAAATTGAAACCGATGTGTACGATAAATAAAAAATAAAAAGACGAATCACACAATAACGTGCAAACAGTAGATAAAAAGTCGATACAATTAACTACATTTGCTCTAATCTTATCGCCTTTTTACCTACTGTTTGTGTTTGTAGGTTATCGTGTGATGATTTTTTCTCTCTGTGCGATATAGTTATATATATAAGCAGAAGCAAGCTTACTTGACGTATAGTGGATGTAGCTACCTCGACATTAGAAGAGTCAACATAACCCCCTGCAAAATATAACATTTAAACATTCAGATTATACTGCACAATCGATACTTTTGGCACAAATACTCTTCCATACAATAGAATCGAACAGAAAACGCTTTTTTAATATTTCAATATATATTCTGAAGAAAAGATTTTAGAAATTACAGATGTCGGAAGGAAAATCGCAATGATTCAAATTGAAATCTATAATTTTAACTGATAAAGGAATATGTTATCATATATTCAAAATTGTTCATCCAACTGGGACTATCATCAATGTTTATACCCACGTTTATAGCAGAACCAAAACATATTAAAAATGTTTTGAAAAATATTTTTATATTGAAGTTACTTACATCGTCCATCCGTGGCTTTAACGAGCCATTTTCCTGATGGATTTTTATCCATTCTAATAATATCGACCCTATCACCCTTCTTTAGTGACAAATCTAACTTAGTACCAGTACAATCTTCTCTTATTATACCTTCACCCTGTTTCGGTTCACTACCAGTAATCTACAAAATATAGATCTACAATTATAAAATCTTAATATTATAAATCTACAATAATAAATCTACATTATAAAATCTACAATTACATATCTACATTGTGTAAATCTACAATATTAAATCTACATTTTAAAATTTAAGATAAGGATCTACATGAATTGTAATTATATGTTTACAATCATAAAACGACAATTGTTTAAATCTACATTTAAAATCTACAATTATAAATCTATAAAATTCTACAATGGAATGTTAAAACTATATTATATCAGTCTACAATTATAAATTTATACTCTAAATTCTTCCATAATGATCAATTTTACATTATAAATTCTACAATGATTGTCTAACCTGCAATTGTAAACCATCATCTTATCATATTTCAAATAGTAGCTTGTGCCCCTTATTGACCGGTACAGATGCAGATGGAGCTCACGTGCGCTTGAGCTTTAAAAATTTTGTTGGCAATATACAGGATGGTTATTGAACTCATTTTACTTTTAACGGATTGACAGATTATACATTTGACATCTTTGTCATGTGATATTTTGTTCATTAAACGGAATTCCTGTTTTAAATGGTTATTTTCCTGTTTTGTTTAAAATCGTGACATCCTTTTCACTTCATAGTACATGTACGAATGATAACTACTACTAACATTTAAGAGAGAACATCAGTAGAGTTAGATACTACAGATTAGGAAATTGAATTGTGGCCGATTCAATTGTATATTAGAAGGTTTCAACCAGATTTCCTCCACTGGTTCCTCTGAAAATACCACCACTAATGACACGAAACTATTTTTCATAGGTTTTCTTCCTCATATTTTGAAAACGAAAACCGTAAATGAGATTTTTCCTCATTTTTCTTTCTTGGTTAGTTTTAGAATATAAGAGGGAACTCACGATCTTACCTTTAAGGCTTTCAACAATTTCTTTTCTTCTTTTTCCTTCGATTTGTCGGTTCTGAAACAGTCAAAGTGTCTTAATCAGTATCCATGATATTTGTTAAGTTTTCTTTAAGTAATGTAACAGTTAGCCAGTGGCGTTCTATTTTTAAGAAGAGGGACAGGCCCCTTTTTTCAATTTTTTTTTAATTATTGTTGCCCCCTTGGTAAATTTTGTGGTCCCTGCTCGGCCCCCTCAGTTGATGTTTCCTATAAACATCACTGCTGTTAGCAACTGACGTTCAACTATAGGAAATCAGCAACCACATGCTGTCAAAACGACTGTATTGTGAACAGTCACATGTAAGTAAGTCTGAAAAATATATATAAAGTATTGGACAATTGGTAATTACCTCTTCTTCCCTTTCCTTCTTCTTCAACTCTTCTTTCGCTTTCCTTTCTTGATCTTTTTTCTCCTTATCTCGTTTCTTTCTCTCCTTTTCACTTTCTTTAGTTTTAGACGACACGGAGCCGCCACTGATTGCTCTGAACAACAAGAACAAACACCAAGTTAATCCAGTGGCGGAGCCTAAGGGGGACAGAGGGGACAGCCGTCCCCGAAAGCAATTTTTCGGGCAAAAATCTCATAATTAGGTTAGAGATTCGGACAATTTCAGATATCTCGCCCTATCTCGGTCGTAAACCTGCCCCCGCCAAATTTATTATTGAATTCGATAGTTCTTTGTGAAAGTTAGGTAGCAGTACCACCAGTGCCCCAACCCCACCTTAGAACATTTTGTGGCCCCTGCTCACCTGATGTTTCCTAGAAACGGCACTGAGTGCCATCGATTATCTTATCGAATGAATAAGTTCGTTAAAATTTTCAACCAAGACAATAACAGACTCAATGTAAAGATGCCACTTTTTCACAGTATTTCTCCAACAATTGGGGGTGGGGGGGGGGGGGGGGCTTTCATACATGAATAAAAAATATGACGTTATTGGATTTAAATTTGCCTGAAATTGCACACAGTTTAATGTTGAATTTCGTCAGATCATCAAGTAAACAACAGAAATAAATAAAATCTAAGCATCTAAACATGTATAATTCGTAGCACTAAGCAAAAAAAAATATGATGTATACATACTGTTCTTCATCAATAGGCTCATAAACTTCATCGGGTTCTTGTAGAGCAGCAGTTGCTGTAGAGCAATCATCGTATTCCTCCATATCATCCGCCATCACGTTACCCACATCACCATATTCCTCTTCTTCTGTCATGGGTTGTCTAAAATAGTTACATGGAAATGGTTTAATACTTCGTTAATAATACACAACAAGAATATAAATTAGATTTTAGTGGCATGTCCAATGTAATTTAATGTAAATTTGATTACATTTTTGTGTAGTTACAAACAACGGACCTGTTCCATGGAGATGAAAAATATCAGAAAAAAAAATCTGCCCAATCCAACAATTAAACATTAAACTTGTGTTCAGAGAATTCGTGCAATATTTATTTAGTATGATGTTCACATTTGATCTCGAATACGTCATTTCAATCCCCCCTCCCCCACCCAAAAATAAAACCACGAAAATACCTACATGACTGAGAACTGAGACATAACATTTCCAATATCATCATAAAAATCTTCATCCTCAAAACCTGCTGCATCTGTAAATAATATACATTGATGGTGAGGTTATCAACAGTGGCGTTTCTACATGGTGGCCAGGGGGTGGAGGGGAGGGGGCGTGCCCGGGTTTGGCCCCCACTTTCAAAGTATTGATTATTTTACATAGTGAAAGAATGCCTTAGAATATGTTCTGTGTGTAATGGAGACCACTACGAGAATAAGAAGAGAACTCTATACTCACCCTGTTTACTATGTAATTGTTTATATTCCGCTTTGATAGGTTCCAAATCAATGTCAGTAAGTTTAGGAGGTTTGGAAGGAGGGGGTCCGTCGAAACTTTTATCATTCTTAGAAATAATAAATCTTTTAAACAGTTTACTATCTCCTTTTCGAGTAACCATAGATTTACGGTTAAATGTAATGTTTTTTGCTCCAGAAGATGTTTCGAGGGAAGCAATCCGATCTAATATAGAACTTTTGCTGTCTGAAACTGAGGACACATTAGAGGTTCTTCGGATTACCTCTTCCGATTGTTTTGTTTCCACTGGGCTTGTGTTTTCTTTTAGGGGTTTTACATTTGTAGCCCGAGTTTCTGAACTCGAGCTATTGGAATCAGATTGGAAACTTTTTTGTAAGTCCGCTACACTAGACCGTTTATTGCCTGAAGCTATGTCGGAATTAGATTTCAAAGGTTGAGTTTTTACATTGTGGTTAATATCCTTTAACACTGGACTATCTGGTTTGTTTGTATCAGTTGAAAGTTTACGGAATGTATTTGTTACAGGTGTTTCTTTCGATTTTGCGACAGTTGAAGACGCAGATGAATTTACATGAGACCATTTATGTGTGACTCCAACTGTTTTCTTTGGAATGGCTAGCGGGGGTTTTGGTGATACAGGTGATGTACGAGATTTCGGAATGACATCCGGTTTGGGTGGAACAGCGCCATTGGTAACTGGTTTCTTCACCCACGATGGTGTTGTTTTTTCCTCAGGTTGATTTAATTTAGTCGAATCACCCCCATTAGCATTTATTTGCTGCTGTCCACGAAACTTCCGAAGTACTGGTGGAGTTGTCTTTCCTGATTTTGGTTCAAACATGGCGGCTTTCTTAGCAACTCCTGACACGCTTATGTTCTTTATAGCTGTTCCATCATCATACACCTCGCCGTCGTCGACACTCTGAAATGGAAACAGTTAACAGTTTAGTAATGGCCAAATACTACTTAGAACTTAGCTCAAATATTCAACAACTAGACATGTACAGGGTTCGAGTTTTAGGCCAAGATTATTTCTTAAACTGGACAGAAGTCTCGCATCTATTAAAGTGTATATCTGTATATTCTATCTATCTATAATAATATCTCCACATTAATCACGGATATTGAATTTGTCCGTTGAAATAGAAGACAATTGGCCTCGTATTTACTCTTTTTTCACGGCCATTATGCAGAGCCATACTTCATTCAGATTGCGTCTTTGGCTGCTGTGACAAGTTGAATAACTGATTTATTCAATATACTTGAAATCACCAGGTAATTATAGGTGTAAAACTAATTAACCTGACCTGCAATCATCCCCTACAGCTAAGTCATTCAGGTTAAATTTCTTACATTTTTTTACATTGACGTAACTGACATACTAGTAGTCAATCGAGAGAATGAATAAATAAATGAAAAATAATGAATAAATGAATGAATAAAGGAAAAATAATGAATGAATGAATGAATGAATGAATGAATGAATGAATGAATGAATGAATGAATGAATGAATAATATCTTAAAATAAATCAATAAAATAAAATAAAATAAATATATAAATAAAATGAATGAACAATATTTCAAGATAATGAATGAATTAATAAATAATATAATAAAATACTGAATGAATAAATGAATAAATGAATAAATGAATAAATGAATAAATCAATAAATAATGAATGAATGAATCAATGAATGAATGATATCTTAAAATAACTAATTGAATGAAATGGTTATTTTCTAAAATTCCCTACAGTATTCAATGTACATAAAAATAACTTCCTTTAGGGTGACGTTGTGGGAAAATTCATCAGTACAATATATCTATGTTTATACAAAAGAAAACTATGTCATGTGTTGAACCATATCGAATAAAGACGGGGTCTACTTGAATACATGATTATACGTTATCTATTATAAAAACATAGCTCCAAATAAACTCAAATATTTTGTCATATTGACAACAACTGCAAACGGACATCTTTATTCTTTGTTTGAACAGTTTGCTCAAACAGCAAAGATAATTATTAATAATAATATTCTAAATACGAGGATTCCTACCCTAAAAAGGGGAAGGGTGATGGCTTACGATCACAACTAGAAACCCCAGTATTCCATGATGTTAGTATAATATTTAGTAACATGATATTTCAGCATTTATCAATTAATCTTCAACCAATTTTAATTTTCGATTACGTATTAGAAGATAACTATAAACTAGTGGGTCTGTCAAGAGTAAATATCCTTTCATCACGAATGGACAAACAATTCATGATCATTTGTTAAGAGAGGGTAAAAAACTGATTTGGGGGTTACCCAAGGGTACATTGATATTACATATGTCTAGGTGTGGTCACGGGCCGCTGAATGTAAAGTAGGAATACAGTAATATCAGAACTCCAAAGAGTTTGGTCTTAAATCTTTTCAGAATGATTTCGTCCCGAGAGCAGAACGCATTCAAGAGCCAAGTTCGAGTGGAAAACAGTGGTAACAAAGACTCAAGAAAAGGTGTGGCCACAACCTTCTCTATATTTCGCTCTGTGTCCCCCTCCAGGACTGGACTGTCTCTCCTTTACCCCTACAACCTTCTAATTAGTACTATAAGATATTTTCATTGTGAACTTCGCTCCATCTTTTCAACAAGTACAACTGTGCCTACTTGAAAATCCCAAATTGTGTAGTCTTCATACTAAAAATCATTTCGTACACAATTGAGAAAAACTTAATTCAACAATTTGAACACATTTCATTTCTTTATTTGAACTTAAAAGTTTTAAAGAACTTACCGACATTGTGCTGTTGGTAAAATAATATACAAACTATATCCAAATTTAGTTTTTTAAAACGAAAACATTGTTTAAACCTAGTAAAGGGGGGATATTCCGAGAACAGTAAGCTTGATATGAATTATTAAAGTATAATTTCTATTAGGAAGTAAATTAAGCTCGTCGTGACGTTATCAACTCGTTAACTTATTACATATTACACACCACAGGCGTACGTAGAGGGAGAGTCGTGATCTATTTGGGCTGCACGGAATTTTGAAAATTCCGTGTGGCATCAACAGTTGTCTGAATATTACTTTGATAATTACTGGATAGTAAATTATTGAATGATTCCATCATGAGTTTGATTCTACCGCTCTTCTACATTGAATTTAATAAATATTACCCTTTTCGCAATATTACCCTTTTCGCAAGGTTAAAATCAAAAATCCTTACAAAGATTATCCTAAAATGGCATCTAGGCATATTTACGCAGTATTGTTTTAAAGCCTGTTCCCTAAAAATTAAGATTTTCGTACGCCTATGTTGTGATAACTATTCACCCTCTGGCGAAACACAACACCTATTTCATAATTAACATAAAATCATTAGCAATAGTTATTAATTAGGACGATAGACGTTGATAGACAGTAGGAAATCGGGTTTATAGTCCAGTCCACCAAATATAGGTGACCTCTCACTAACATTCTCGAAAAGCAAAACCTAGAACAGACCAAGTGGCTATACAAAACAAGGATGTTTATTACCACACTACGAACGCCTTTGTTTTGAAATCTAGAGCGTCGAAGTTCATATTGCATAGTTTAATCTTCCTGGTTGAAAACTTTATCTAACATAATATAATTTATATTCACGAAAATATTTTTTAATAATGTAACATGTTCATTGCCATATATCTTATGGTATTAAAAATTTGACAAGTTTTAAATTTAACTGTTCAGCATTTTACTCCTATGTCACTGTACTGTCTGCAAGTTTAACTTCTAGCACTTTGGACATTGGTAATTTTTCAATATTCTCAATAAAATTGTACTGTGTAAAGCCGAACAATGGTCTGATTTAAGAACAATTATCTGGGAATTGTAAAATGAATCCTATAGTACGAAGTAATCAATATGTATACGTTAATTTAAGTAACTCTCAGTACCTCGAAAAAAATACCGACCTCTTAACCCTTGTAAAATATTTACAGGTGTATGGTTTTGACACCGAACTAATATCGTTTTTTAATGCGAATAAAAGTTCTCTGATAGCCAAATCAAGAAACAAACAACTGTCATTGTTTACTAGGAAGTAAATTCCTGTAGAGTTAAATATAATAAATTATTCCGACCTCTCAACTGCCAGGGCAGACTGAATAAATACTTCCTCTATTATTTCAAATGATTAAAACAAGATAACTGGTTGCTTGAGACACTGGTGATGGCCCAATACCTTGCTAAGATGGTACGAATTCAACGTTTGAACCGCCCCTAACCCTTCTCGCCACAGTTTCTCTTCGACAATCTTATCTAGCCTTCCACCCTCTCCCCTCCGTTCAAATCTACCAGCCCACAAAGTGACTTATAATGATGATAACTATCTAAAAATCGGACGGTTTTTGAAAACCAAAATATTTATTCATAATATTTATATATTATTGGTCACTGCCAGACAGGACTTGGTTATTATTCCTGTTTTACGAAATAGATAAACATTCCTCCCTGCCTAAATATAGCGTGGGAAATATATTTAAATGTTTAAAAGATGGCTCGTAACCAAGAACTTACATATTATCATACGAGTTTCTGGAAGTAAGCCTGATCCACTGTTGTTTTATAAATCCCGAGTCCACTTCTTATAATTCAGTATTCGCTTGACACAACCTATATATGGGTCTTTTTTAAAATTAAAAAAAACTAAACTATAAATAATAAGCCCTTGAAATTAGGCTGTACGTGTATATCAATGCATTTCAATAACTCTTAACACTGTTTATTTGTTATATTGTATACAAAACAATATTACTGCATACTGCATTGCACAGATCTACTATTGTTCAGGCTATAGGCTATTAAGAATACACAGTTATTATGAATTCCCGAACTTAAAAATATTTCTATCATTCAAGGGAAATAACCCAAACACGAAAAAACACTCTTAAAAGAAGTAGAGCATAAAGCTGTACAGTAACTCAACCCGACAACTAGAGCAATTATAATTATTCAAGGGAAAAAACTCGAGACACTTTTTAATTCAGAACATGGGATAGAAAACGGTATCAAGCACCTGTTAATCTATCTAATATTCTATTCTAGAGTTACATCGTTATCAAATGAATGTCTGGTTGACCCTATCATAGGGTAATCTAGGTGTATAAAACAATACTACAAATACTCTAATAATGTACAGTGCCTTCTGTTGAATAGTAATTTGTCAACCACCTAGGCATATAATACAATAATAATGTGCCAATGTTACACAGGGTCAGTGCCCTGTGTTAGGTAGACAGAAGTTACAATAAACTAACAATGTTATGGTATTTTGACTCTTAACTTACCCTGTCCCCACTGAAACCGGATCTGTAATTAATATCACCCAACAGCTGATAGTTACAAGGGGGTATCAAAAAGTTTATTTTGGGATACAGTTTGTAGTCTGTGTATAGGCATACTGCCTAATCCCATTTGAACAACCCTGAACTGCAACAGTCAGGATATCTGACCCTCAATTTACGACTTTTATAAAAACTACAACCACTGAGTGCTTGGTTTGGTTAGTGAAGTCAGTTCACACCAACCTTCACTAAGAAGTTATACTGCTGTTCTTTCCTAGTGAAAACTTTTTGATATACCCTTACAATATAAATAGCCGTTAATAAGCTGGTTTTGTACACAAAAGGATAATATTGTTGCAGTATACAGGGCGTACTGTTGCAATGCAACGATAGTGAAGACTTTTTGATATACCCTCATTATGTAAATAACGTTAATTAAGTTGGTAATAAGTGTTGATATAGATACAAGATGATGTGGGTATTCAATTGTCATATTATACCATCTATAATCATATAGTGTCGTATGTCTATCTCTCCTAAACCTATCTTATATAGATATATTTATATCACTAGTCACTAGGTTATATTATATTCATTACCCTAATAAAACCTGTACGTAACAATAGTCATCCTCATGTGACTATATAGGTGTCATCTAAGACAGCGTATCTTCGTTGTTGATAATTTTCCAAATATACATTAATGGGAATTATACTGCTGGTCTTGTGCATTATTTAATTGTGATGCATACGGTTTTTTGTCGTCACACCAGGTGAAAATTGAATTGATGTCGAAATCAATTATTAACTTATGAAAAAGCCGAATACTGTTATTCCAAAAAAACAATTCTTCATCATTTTCGTCTTTGTAACAATATTGAGGATCAAAGGTAAAAAAGTTAGCAAGCAGATTGATTGGAACAATGGTATGTTTTCGTGGTCAGAACTTATTAAGGACGCGGTGATTCCTTGATGAGATTACGTATCAGACATCAATTCAATATTTACATTTTATAGATCTCCTTTGTTATTTTCATTGAATTCCCCTTTTGAAATAGCGTCAAGAATGAAATTATAAATATGCCTTTAATCTAGATGTATACAGTAGCTGACGATGCAATGTGAAGTTCATAGCCGTGTACCTAAATGTCAAGTTTACGATTTAAAAATTAAATAGCCTCGAGTTACTATAAATGATATTAATGCACTATAATACATACATATAATGTATATTTTTGTATAACTATTAATAAGGTGGTTTCAGATTCACTGGCGATCCGATGCATAAACTGAATGGATTCCGAACCTTGAAGTCGACACCAGGGTGCATTTTTGCTAGAAAGTAGACTATAAGTAACTGATGGAAACTATGCCCAACTGCCATTAATTAAGGCTCGGTAAGCGCAGACCGATACATACCATATCAAATATGAGACATGATCAGGCAAAAATTATTAAACTTTCCGACATTTTGATTTAAATATGACAGCTTACACGTCAAATCAGACAAAAATACACAATTAAAAAGAAAAAAATAATAATTATGTGCAGTTCAAAGGTAACTGGTAGGTTAACGTTCTTTAAAGGTAGTCGTACAGTGAGTTGGTCACTTCGTTGCTAATCCAAAGTTGAGATAATAACTTCCGTTTTCAACACAATTCCCCTGTCAGTCATGCAGATCTACTGATATTGAAAGAAGGGACCCTATTTGCACCTTATTTGCATTCGTTTATTATTCACTTTCTTGCTAACCTTATAGAGTTCCAGGGTTAGAGGTATTAACATTCGGTTCGAAGCCTATTTCTCGCCCGTCATACAGATAATCTGACATCGAAAACAAAAGCAGTAATTTAGATGGAACAATATATCGATATATCTTTGCAAAAGACAAAACTGATATATATATAATAATAAACAATACTTACATTTGAACATAAATGTGCTTTCTAGATGACAGAAATATTGTCCGTGTAAACAGCAATAACGTCCGCAATCTAATTCATACAACACAGCAATCAAATGCACAAATTGAAACTAATCTCCACAAATCACAAACGAAAATACTTCCTTCATTAATTGGTATATTCAAATGTTCATTAAACCATTGAACTTCAATCATATCCGTATTATGATAAAATGATGGGGAATCAGGTTAGGAAGATAACTTGAAATATGTCACCAGTAATTAGTTAGATTAGTACTTAGTACTAATAGCTTCCCTTGGACTCTCTCTTTCTCTCGTAGAAAGTTACATGGTTTCATAGATTTCTAAGCTTGTTACAAAAGTTCAACTTTGTTGCCCTGTTGTCGAATCTGATTTGGTTTTGAGATAAAGATGGTTTTATCCACGTTTGTGCTTTATCTTATTAATGCATCGTCGTTAAACAAAATATGTTATCACAAAGCTGGGTTCATGTATTTCAAATGTGGTCCATTTAGAGTTTGAAATATCTCTTACAAATTTGATCTGA